CAAATTTTATAGTATTTTCACAATGAGTATAGAAAAATAAATTTTTTAAAAACTTATAAGGACTAAAATGAGATGCTCTAAAGTTTTTCTAAGAATTTTATCAATTAACAAAAATAAAATTATAAAACAATAAACCTTTGCTTTTCTTACAAAAAATGTTTTAGGCGAGAAAATCCAAAAAAAAAAGGTTAAAGTATTTTCATATTAAACATTTTTTATATAACAAAGTCTAGGGAAAAAATAGTACGATCCGGTTTTAAATAAATGAAAAGGTGACCAATTTATCCCTATATCTTAATTTTTTTGTTTTTTTTTTTTTTATGTTTTTATGTTTTAAGGGAGTTTTCAATCTATCTATCTAGTGACATTTTTCGAAATAACCATCGGAAAAATGTTAAATGATCTATACATGACTAATTTTATAACGAAAATGCTTCTCAAATGATTGAACATGTTCAAGTCGCCATTAATCATAACCACTTTTCTCACCTTGATCGGATAAGCACCAAACCTATTTTTTTGAGATAAGAATTACATATTTATGGCGCTAGTCTTGGATTTTGATGATTAAAAGATATTTGAGGTGGTAGGGTGGCCAAAAATGAAAAAAAAAAAAATAGAGAAAATTGATGGATTTGATGATGGCCAATGAATTAGGACTTGATATTGGCCTAAAAAGCAAAGGCAAGGTGAAAAAAGTCATTTTTAAGTTCTATGGTTGTAGATAGTCAAGTTAGAGCTTGATTTTAGGTGAAATGTAGACATTTTGACAATGAATAATTGAGGTTTTGGGGTTGCAGAGAGAGTAAGGATATTGATTGTTTTGGTGTGATTTTCGTCTGATTTTTTTAGGACTAGGGAAAGAAAGGAAGGGATGAACGGGAAGAATAAAGAAAAGAGAGTGGGAAAAAAAAAAAAAAAGGGTTTGATGCTTGTCTTTGACCAAATTTCAGTCAACTTGAGAGAGAGAAAGAGAGGGCGATGATGAGTTGGTAACTTGCATGTGTCCATTCTTTTGAGAGGTATGCTCAATATAAAATTTATCATTAGTGAATCATATATTATTTTATAATGCTTTTATCGAAAAATATCATTAGAATTATAAAAATTTACTTAAAATATAAAAATATAATTTATTTATTTTAAAATATGAAGAAATATTCATATTTATGGTATTATATAAGTGCATACTAAACTACTTCCTTAAAACTCTAATATGATTTTTTTTGTTTGAAGAAAAAAGAGAAATGCGGAAGCCATGCAGTTGAGTTTGACCTCTTCGTTTTTTTTTTTTCCAAACTAAACTATCACGTGTTGGATTAGAAAAAGTTTGAAAGTTAGCTTATTGTGTTTTGATCGAAATTTTATAAAAATTGTGAATTGTGTTGTTTTAAAAAAATTAAAACAATGCCAATAGATGTTTTTTTTTATTTAAAAAAAAACTATAACTTTAAAAATTCCAATACGTTTCCTCGACAGGAATAAATTAAATTTGCACAACTTTTTATCTTTGTTGTTTTGGTAATTTTAGTAAATAGGTTAATTCACAAGGATATTACTTTAATGCAACTCGGTTGACATCATAAATAAATAAATAAATAAACAAAAATATGATTTGATAAAAACAAAAAAAAAAACTATGGATTTGCCATTACCTATAGCTGTAACTTGACTATAGAATTATTGTAGTTTCAGTGATGACTAGTAAAAAAAATATTTGGTCATAGATCTGTATAAATACTGGTTGCACATAACAAGAAGGATTAAAAAAAAGAGACAGAGACATAATTTGGAGATTTCCTAAAGATGATTGAAGCTTTTTATATATATATATATATATGAAATCCGGATCACTGTTGAATTTGAATGGATTCATGGCTGAAATTTAGAATCTAATTTTTTTAAAAAAAACTGACAAGATATTTTATTCTTCAAAATAACTAGTAAGTTTCTCACAAAAACATCATCGTCTTTGTATAAAGAATGCAACAAAACGATATCTATTTGGTTCAATTTTCACTTTGAATTTTCTTTTTAACATAGCCACTTTTGGTCTTCTCATATAAATTTACCAATTTACAAAAAGGTTTCTGTTTAGAAAGAGGGGCTCTTAATTGGAGAAACGGAGGAGGAGATAGAAAATGGTTGGAAGATTAATTTTCAGCATCGATTAATACTGTACTTACCTCCATTTCATGGATTTTAACCTCTGAGTCGATTGGAGGTGTTTGGAAACTTTAAGGTGATAAAAAAAAAATAAACGTAAAATTCATTGTAGAAATAGATATTGAAAATTGATTGATGATTTGTTGTTTACAAGAACATTGAAATAAATTTTGAGATTTGATATATGTTTATTGAGGTCTTTACGATAATTTTAAGGGGTTTTTATCTGAAAAAAACTAAAAATTCACTTTTAAAAGAGAAAACCTAGAGATTTGCAGTTTTCTGCTGACTAGAAAGTGGTTGATGCCTTGTCCATGAGTTTCTTTGTTCTCTTTTTTTTTTTTTATTAAAAAAAAGAAGAAGCTTAGGCGCATTCGGGCCTGCAGTTACAGGCCCAACATATGAGTCAAGCTGCCTCCTACCTTTTTTCGGTTTTTTTTTTTTTTTAATCCTGATCACTATTTATTCTCCTTTTAAAACACAAATAAATAAATTGATCATAATATATTTTTTAATATTTAATATTTGTGCATCTATAGAGTGAAGTTAGATTTCTAATTTTGAAATCTTAATACGACGTTCAATAATAAGCAAAACTAAAAGAAAATACATTTAAGTTTTATTCATCTTGATAAATTTAAAATATGTAAGGCTGTGAGATTTTGTATATAAATTTAGAATTCTTTTTAAAATAATAAATATTTGGTTGATCTGTGTTTTGTTTTAACAAGCTAGCGCTTCATATTGCACTCATTGAAGATTACTAAAATAAATAAAATTCAATGGATAAAGTTTAGGTACTGTATACAAATCTCATAGATTTGAAATGTGTAATTTTGAAATTGTTTAATGTATATTAAATATGATAAGGATGTTATGTATGATTTTTTTTTCAGTTACCCACTCAATTTATCAAACGTTTTATCATGCAAGTGTAATTTTTTTTCTTCCCATGAAAAATGATTTTTATAACGACGATGCATTGCAAGTTTCAAATGTCCATCAAGAATTAGGTCATTTGATAATCTGAAAAATAGATGTAATAGCATAAAAAATTTACTTTGTAATTACAGGTTACTTAATAGTTAGACATCGAATGCTTTAAACTTGAACAAATCGTTATTTCATAGAATTTCATGTTTAAGTAAATTATATGAAAATGTGGTTCGTCTGGTAGTTAAAAACAAATTGCTTTCTTTTTTAACTTTTTATGTTAAGATATCAGAGCTAATATATTTATTAATTTTTTTTTTTTAACAAAATACACTATACTAGAGTTTTGTTTTTAAAATTGTAATGAAGAGACTGACTCTCATTTGATGCATGAAATGACCTAAAGAAACCTTTGCTGTTTAACTAGGAAAAAATAAAAAATTAAGTAATTCATTCGTTTTGCAATATTGTTTTTTAATAGACATAATATGTGAAATTTTAAAATATTTAAAGAATAGCTAGTAATACTTATTCAATGAATTCACTCTAAGAAGAGAAATAAACATAAAAAAAAATATTTATCAGCTCATCAATAGTAATAAAAATATTTCAACATAGTTTTTTTTATTTAAATTATTTCTATTTTCTTTATATGTATTTCTCTTATATAAAATAAATATTATTTGTTATTATTAGAGTAAGATAAAATATTTCCACATAATATAACATGCAAGCTATGCAGTTATATTTACCGGTAAATACGAAACACGGATTCATACGAATTCACGAACCACATCTATAAAAAACCAAACTACATAATTTAAAGAAAGCATTTTGTGACTCATGACGCAAAAACTCACAATTTTGTTACTCCAGTTTTTCTAGTCCAAACTGCTGTTATTTTGTTTCGAAAGAGCATTTCTCATTTTTCATTTCCATTCATTTTAATTGCATCGGCATGTTGGTTGTGTCTTACTCCTAGTATTTGGGCCAAATGAATAAAACTTCTAGGGATTTTGGATTTGAAAGCAGGCCCAATTGATAGAAACGTAGAATCCACTCTCCAATTGATTGACAGGACAGCCCACCCTCCCGCCTTCCAACATTACACATGCCTGTTCACACATGACCCATCTACCACCATCGATCCATCATGCTTTTCCATTTCCTTCCTCAAGACACCTTCTCGTTACACGAAAAGTTTTATAATATTCAAAAAAATAAAAATAATTAATAGTATAAAATAATTATTTCATAAATTTATTTGAAAGGAAGAGATATAAGCACATAAAATTATATTCGGATTCAGAAAAAGACAATAATAAGATTTTTATATTTGTTTAATTTTTTAAAATTTTCTCTCTCCTATTTTTATCTTCTTTTTTATATCTATCTCTTTTCTTCAAGTGAATTCATAAAGTAATTATTCTACATGTCATTAATTACTCCCCGAGTATTATAAAATTTCTATCCATAACACACTCTTCCAACAAAATGACACAACTACCCTACACTCCAAATCACAAGCCTACTCTGCATAACTGCAATTTCATAAAACCCCAAGACTATCCCCGTAACAAAATTCAAAAATCAAAATTCGAGCGGGCGACTAACCATGGTTAACATAACGGTTTGGCCAACCTGGAAAAACCAATAATTAGCTGGCTTGGCAATTGGCATGGCACCTAATTTAAGCACCGGTTAAACTAACCCTGGTTATATTAGCCACACACGCCCTCCCTCATCTCTCCTTTTGTCTCAATATATAAACCCCATACCCACTGACCTAAAATCTCACCCCAAAATTTCATTGGCGTCTTGGTAAACGCCGCTCTTAGCATCAGTTCATTTCTCTCTTTTAATATCTGTTTAGGTTCCTTCTTTTTGTGTTTTAAGAGAAAATGAGAGAGTGCATTTCGATTCACATTGGTCAGGCCGGTATTCAGGTCGGCAATTCTTGCTGGGAGCTTTACTGCCTCGAGCACGGCATTCAGGTATCCATTCGATCTCTTCTTATTGCAATTATTATTTTCATGCTGTTTTTACCGATAATTGTTATACGGCGTTGCTTGCTTCTTTTGTTTCGTTGGGTAATCTATCAGATCTGGATCTAGTCTTATCTGTGTAGTTTTTCTCTCCCATTTTTTTTTCGATTTTCTTGTAGATCTAGGATTTGGGATTTTGTGTTGGTTGCATTGATTATGGTCCATTTATCCTTTCTAGATTTACCAAATTTTATCGAGATCTAGGTCTAATTGTTTCTATAAGTTGCTATATCTAGGTTTCTTTTCTTAGTTTATTATTGAGAATGACGATCTATATTTTTTGTTCATTACACTCTGTTGGTTAAATTATTGTTTCTGTTTCAGCCTGATGGCCAGATGCCAAGTGATAAAACTGTCGGCGGAGGAGATGATGCTTTTAACACCTTTTTCAGTGAAACTGGTGCGGGAAAGCACGTACCTCGTGCCATCTTTGTTGATCTTGAGCCTACTGTGATTGATGAAGTGAGGACTGGAGCATACCGCCAGCTTTTCCATCCTGAGCAACTAATCAGTGGAAAGGAAGATGCTGCCAACAACTTCGCTCGTGGTCACTACACCAGTAATCATCAAAACTCTACAATTCTGGTTATGCGCGTTTTGAATTTCAATTCAGACTCTCGATTTGGGATTTTTACTTAATAATGTTTTGCTTGTCTTGTGGTTTATCAGTTGGGAAAGAGATTGTTGATCTTTGTTTGGATCGAATTCGAAAGTTAGCTGATAACTGCACTGGCCTTCAAGGGTTCTTGGTGTTCAATGCTGTTGGAGGTGGTACTGGTTCTGGTCTCGGGTCACTTCTCTTGGAGAGGCTCTCTGTTGATTATGGAAAAAAATCAAAGCTGGGTTTCACTGTCTATCCCTCACCTCAGGTTTCGACATCAGTTGTAGAACCTTACAACAGCGTCCTTTCAACTCACTCTCTCCTTGAGCATACTGATGTTTCGGTGCTCCTCGACAATGAGGCCATCTATGACATTTGTAGGCGCTCTCTTGACATTGAGCGTCCCACTTATACCAATCTCAACCGCCTTGTTTCTCAGGTAATGCTTGTTATAAATGGAAAATTGCACTGCTGATTATCGATTTATTGCATACAAGTGATTGTATTAATATGGGACCTGTGATTTTTATGTCTCAGGTGATCTCATCTTTGACAGCCTCATTGAGGTTTGATGGAGCTCTTAATGTGGATGTTACTGAGTTCCAAACCAACTTGGTTCCATACCCTAGGATCCATTTCATGCTTTCCTCTTATGCCCCTGTTATCTCAGCAGAGAAGGCATACCATGAGCAGCTCTCTGTGGCTGAGATTACAAACAGTGCTTTTGAGCCATCATCCATGATGGCTAAGTGTGACCCCCGCCATGGCAAGTACATGGCTTGCTGCCTGATGTATAGAGGTGATGTTGTGCCCAAAGATGTGAATGCCGCTGTGGCCACCATCAAGACCAAGCGCACAATACAGTTTGTTGACTGGTGTCCAACTGGATTCAAGTGTGGTATCAACTACCAGCCACCAACTGTTGTTCCAGGAGGCGACCTTGCTAAGGTTCAGAGAGCTGTGTGCATGATTTCCAATTCCACAAGTGTTGCAGAAGTCTTCTCTCGCATTGACCTTAAGTTTGATCTCATGTATGCAAAGCGTGCTTTTGTGCACTGGTATGTTGGTGAGGGTATGGAGGAAGGAGAGTTCTCAGAGGCTCGTGAGGATCTTGCTGCCCTGGAGAAGGATTATGAGGAGGTTGGTGCTGAGTCAGCCGAAGGAGATGATGGTGATGAAGGAGAGGAGTACTGATAGTTAGTGTACGATAGGGAGTGTGTTTCCGTACTGTGTGTTTGATTTGGTTGCTATGAATTTGCTTGGACTCTTGTTGCTGCTGCTATGGTTCCAATGTGTTGGGGGTACTTGTGACCTCTGGTATTGTAATAAAAAATATGAGGATTGAAGGTACTGTTAAATTTGGTTTTCTTACAAAGTAAAATGGGAGAAGAAGACACTATTTGAACCCAACTGCAGAAAGACCAAGTGTTTTAAGTTTCAACAAGAACAATGAAAGACCTGTTGATTAAAGGATAATTATATAATTTTACAAAGTATTTCGAACCAAAGAAAATATGAATAATTTGCAACTGGAATCTTCACAAGAAGATGCTTGATGATGTCACTGATTCACCGTGCCTTCTGCTTCAGTACTCAGCAGTGTCCTAGTTTCTTGGCAAGGCGATTCTCTATTTCCATTCTCCTCATCAATAAAGCATACTCGGAAACCAGCTGTTGATTCCCAGCACTAACTGAAAGCTTTGCAGCTGAGGGATGAAGTCTCCAACTTGTCCTTGCAATTGGCACAAAACTTCCATTTTCATTACATTGCCAACCATAAGCAAGAATTAAAGCAGCTTCTAGGGAAGGATCTTTCAACAAAGTATACAGTTTTCACTTACATTAGGTGAGGAATCTAGTATGGGAAGAGACCACCATTAGATAACAAATATTTGTAAAGGCAGCAGCTGCATACTGGGTTTTTTTGTCTGTGTTCACGTCACAGCCAAATAATGATGCTATGGAGTTGAAAATGCTCTGATTAGCCAATGCTCTCCGCCAGTTGCTATAATTCGTTGTGGAGAAGGCATGCCAAATCCTTCAGCATGAGCTCTCATAGAGAGGAACTGACCTTCAATCAATGCTGGAGCCTGCTAATGAATCAAACCTTTTTCTAATAAATCTTTTGTTTCATTATCAAATTCCTGAGGTACTACATCAGCATATGAAAAAATTTCCTGGACAACACAGACTACAGATCTCAGAAGGAGGGTCAAATTCCTCCACTACTTGTTTATTCGATCCCTCGAGAGTGTCGCTCATGAAATTTTGGATGACATGCCGATGGAAGCCAACTGGTCAGAAATGCAGCTTTTAGTTAATTATCTGAAATTCATTTAGATGACAAATTACAGAAAAGTTTAAAAAGCGAGAAACAAACGGGAAATACAGATATGTCCAGTTGTTGATCAAAAAGCACAGTTGTTAATTGCAAACATTGTTTGCAATATTACATATGCACGTGGTTGGCATTCTCTTCCATGGATTCAGTTACTTGCATCGTGAAATTGTTTTAGTTTGCATAGATTATCTATTCGCTATCAGCCGTATGAACCATTACATAACAACTTTTTCATAACGATTTGAATGGAAACCTCTAATTTATGGCGTCCAGTGCTTTTGAAGAAATGCATATGAGCAACAACGAGTTTTCCACTCAGAAGGTTGAACGTCAAGAGAAAATAAACAAAATGACAAAACATAAACCCAGATCTCAATATTCCTGCAGAGAACAAAACCATGATACGGACGGAAATATTAAAATTGAAAATCCAAGAGCCTACCTGGAAGGGGAGGAAGGATTTCATGGTCTTTGTAGTTGAAACCAACTTTCCCATCTATTGCAGAGCTGGAACGAGCAAGCAGAGAACAGCTAATATCTAGAAAAAGAAATTATCAAGTACTTGTACAAACCATGGAGAGGTGGCATTTGCTCCAGAAACTTATTGAAGACTTCCCAAGATTTCTCAGCATACCGGTTACAAACATCTAAGCAAGATTGTTGCCACATCTGGGAATGCCAAGTGACATTGCTGGAATGCAAAGGAATGGATCAGTACCTTCCCGGGGTAGAGACCTATTTTTGTAGATTAGCATTACCATATAACCTTCTGTGTCCACGGGATTAGAGAAAACATGCCCTTCTAATCCAGGTTCAGGATTGCTAGCAATCCCAAAAACCTGCATGAGGCGCTATCAATGGTTTGGCATTGAAAAAACTTGATCACCTTGAAGCACACATCTCTGACCATTTTAGAAACTTCCACTGAACTTGTGGAATGTGAAGATGATTTTTGGGAGTTCAAATGCTACAGGAAACATATAACGTGTCCGAGTTTGATAGCCAGTAAATTGTAATTCATTGATAAATGATTAAATGGGGATCCATTGCTGAGTGAAAGATATAATGTGTCCAAATTTCAATATAATCCTGCAGATGCATGCAGCATGCTTCAAAGTGGGATATGCAAGTAACCATCAAAAGCGACTTTGTGGAAGACTCATGTTGAGTAATCAGGATCAGAACTTACAATAAATAATTATCAAATTATAGCAAAATACACACTTTAATTGGGGGATTGTAACAATATTATAACAACACCGTATGTCTAGATACAAGCTCAATCAAGAGAACAGAAACCCTGTCATCAGAATGCAATTATCTTGACAACGCCTACGGAGTAAGTTATCATTGCAAGTGACAGTCAAATGCCAGAAAGGTGTGGTTTGCATTATTAATTACCATGTCCCTGGTGCCAAGTCTCATTGCCAGGTCCCCTGGAACGCTGAGAGTTAAACCTGCAGATTCAAAGTGATTTGTTAAGAAAATGAACTAAAATCTGGGGATGGAATAAAAACTGATTATTTCCAAAAGTTTTGAAAAGCATAAAGATATCAGACTTTATCTGAAATTAAAACTTCTGATGACTTGTTCTGAAACAAAGTTTGCTGCATCATGTGCCTTTTGCATAATAACAAAAGCAAATATCTGATACTATATGCTTTGAACAAATTCAGCAAAAAGTTTGTACACAAATAATCAAGCGAAAGGACACATTCTTAATTGAAGAAAAGAGGAAACTTCTAGATGCTGCCACAGGATTGATTATAAACCCAAGCAATCAAGTTATCAAAGATTTGACCAAGAGCTTAACAAGATGATAGAAATTACACAGAAAAACATTAACCTGCTAAACTATTGGGGTTGTCTCCTGACCACAGAACAACCAAACAGTTCTCATTAAAATTATGCCTGCAAGGAAATTGACAAAGCTCTAAAGCAGTTAACCTATATTCCTGAACCACAAGGTTCAATAAGCTTGCAAGAACATAACATCCGGCCACATAAAACTTCCTTCTGAACAAGGTATTGCAATTCATTAATTTACCAATCAATGCTAATAATAACTAATGTACAATATCTGGGAACTGATTAGCTATCATGACGTAAGTAAAAATGCTGCTAGCTGTTACGTTCTTAAACCAATCATTACAAAGAAACTAAAAACAAAATGCTAAATCCAAGTAGCATTCACTGTTCACCAAAACCCATATTCTTGTGCATTCCACTATTCAAATGAGCAGTATTTTCACTTTTTTTGCTCCCCCGTCCATAGCTCTTTTTCTTGCCCTCCTTTTACCTTTTAATTTCGTTTCTGTCATTCTTCCATTTACCTACATGCCCCCTTTTTTTTGTTTGGTTTGTTGTTGCTCTCAACCCTTTTTCATCTTTGTGCCTTTTTTCACCCCTCCATTAGATGCTCTTGTCTAATCTTAATTAAAAAACCAGGAAAAAAAAAAGAAAACAAAAGAAACTTTCCTAGTCAACAAACAACGACGAGAAAACCAAGTAGACAAGTTCCTATTTCGTCTGCATGTTTATTTAGTTCCTAGCTTTGGGTTTCTCTTTTTCTCTTCATTGCAACTTTCTTTTTGTTTGAATTTTATTCAGTTTTCTTTATTTGTAGTTTTATTCAAAAAAAGAACCCTGATCTTTTGCACTTAATTCAGGTTTTGAAGTACATAATTCGACGAGGGAGTGTGCTGAATATGCTGTTTAGTCTTCTCTTTTTCAGAGAAGAAAAAGGTTTATTTTTTCCCTGCTCCTTTCTTGTTCAATTTAGGCTTCATTGCTCTGGTGGAAAACAACTTTCATAACAAAATTAATTCCTGAATAAGCTATTTTTTAAGAAATTATTTTCCAAGAAAATATTTTCTGTCATTTGACAATTACATAAAAAAATTACTAAAAAATATATTCCAACGTTTGTTTGATATAGAAAATTAAAATAAAAAAACAGTATGTAATTGTTACGTCAATAAGCGTCGAGAAAACTTCAAAAAGTCATATTCATAATTTCACAATATAAGATACATTTAGAAAAATTTAATAAATTTTCATAAATACTGACTTTAAAATTTTAATTCAAAAAATAAAATACACTTTTTTAACTATCAAACCAATTCATCAAAATTACTTGGGACAAAATCAAGTTAATATTCATATTTAGTAAAAAAAAAATTCTAAGTAAGCCTAGCATTGTCATTTTGGTAACTCAATTAAGATTTTGTTTTTTTTTTTTTTAGAAATTGAACTGATAATTTAATCTAAAAATATTTTTATAAATTTTTAGTTATCTTTTGTTGATAATTATTCATTTGGTTCAAAAGATTAATGTTAGAATAATTTGTAACTAATTATTCATTACAATTACCAATAAAATTTTACAACCGATTAAAATTATAAATTATTAATTTAGTTGTAAATGAATAGTGTTGAAAAAATAATGTATTTATTAGTGAATTAATTAATTTCAAATTTTTTTACGGAAAATTACGAGTCTTATAATAATCATTTTCAATCATTTAAGTATAGTTTAGGTGGTGTTTAAGCTAATAGTAAAAAAATTGAGATAAACTATCAAAATATTAGTTATAAAAATAATTTTAGAGTGTAAAAATAGTTTTTAAGAATATTTAATGTACCTATAAATCAAAAAAATCAAATATTAGTAGAAATATAGAAAAAATAATTAAATAATTAATAATAATTAATAAGGAATAATTAAAAATTAATTTGATATATTTTAAATAAAAAGAAGATAGAGAAAAAAATTGTTAAAATATATCGAGATAGAGGTAAATAATACGAAAGCGAGATAGCTCGTGAGAAGAAAAATGTTTTTCTCTTTTTTAACTAGGAAAATATTTTCTCAAAAATACTCTATCATTTTTCGTTGACTGAAAATTATTTTCTATTAACTTTTTTCCTAAACGCGAAACAAACACAGAAAAATGAAAAAAAAAAAGCTCCTGGAACTTGTTTTTCCGCAAACAAACATAGCCTTAGAAAGATGTTGCTCCTCTTGTCAAATCTATTTCGTCTTGATTCTTATAATTGTGAATGTTTTGAAATAATTTTTTCAACAAAAAATATCTAAGGCCACATTCCTGTATTTAGAAATTATATCTTAATTATGTACTTGACAAGTTTCTGTCATGTCTCTAAATAATAAGGCATTAATTTAATTTACTACAAACTAAAAGACAGTTTTTCACACTCATGTATATGTGTGTGTGTTTTTAAAATATCAAACAAATTTGTAATGGTTGATACATATTATTATGCATCGCTTGGTCTTAACATACGAACAAGTAAGAGTAATTCATGAAAAGAAAAATAGAAAAGTATCTTAAAACAACTTATATTTGGCATATGGTCATTCTTGAAAAGAAAAATAGAAAACTGTCATAAAAGAACTTATATTTGGCATATGAAAATAGAATACACAAGAACAAAGGTCCTTTAAACCCAAAATTAGCAGTATCTTGCACGACTAGGGACCAATACTTTTGCCGTATTACAAGAGTATATATGGCAGTGTAAATTTTTGGCATATATTTTGATTATATATCTAACTATATGGTAAGTGGGGCTTGCTAGGTAAACTTCGAATTACTAAAATAAATAATATTATTGGTCTTCAATTACTGAGCACATTGCTTATTGTGTATGAATATATAGATAATAGGCAAACTGACGAGTAGATTTGGGGTTGATAAGTACATTTTTGTAGAGGGAGTTTGGTACAGAAAACTTTCCAATTATGGAGTCAAATTCAATTCAAATTTCAACCGTTTACAATGGAGGTGGACCACCAATTAATAAAATATCAACGCCATGCTATTATATTTGAGTTGGCTACAATGTCTCCTACCTAATTAATTAATGGGGTGGCCGTTAAAAAAGAGAGAGAGAGAGAGACCAAAATTGGAAATCGGCAATTTCTGGTTACTTATCTACAACCTTGACATTTTTTGGGTTTAATACACTACTAGTTTTTTTACTCACCCTACACTATTGGTTGGATAAAATATATAACATCATTTAGAGTAATCATTTCAGTTTCATAGTCTATTTTTATGATGTGAATCTATAAAAATATATAAAATCAAAAATGAAAAAAAATTATTTATAATTTTTTAATAAAAAAATTTGTATTTAACACTTTCTTACTTGTGTTTTTTTATAATTTTTTCTTCAAAAAAAAGATTTATCCTTGTTAATTCATGGATTATTAACTAAAAATAAATAATTTTTTTTTAAAAAAGCTTTAGTATTTCATAAGATTGTGTTTAAAAACATAAATAACAATTATTAAAAGCTTATATAGAATTGAACAAATAATTTTTTTATTTAATGTTGATGAGAATATCGGTTTTTCAAAAAATATGAATCTAATTTTTATATATTTATTTTCAAAAGAATGAATTATATTAAAATAAAAAACTATATTAATTTGACTTTCAACTATTAATTATTTAATTAGAGTTTTTTTAAAAAAAAAACTAAGAAAAAATTATTTGAAATATACTTTTAATCTAAAAATATATTTTAGATAAATTATATATATTAATCATGCCACTATAATTTAAAAGTTATCTAAATCTATTTTTCAAAAGAAAAAATAATCATGTTCTAAAAATTTATTCCAAAATCCATACATATAGAAAAATAATCAAAATTATCAGTAAATATAATTTTAAATTAATTGGTTGAGAATTTTAAAAAAATAACAAATTAAAGTAGTAAATTTTAAATAATAAAAATAATTAACAAAAAATACTAAAACAAAATGGGATCAAATGACAATATAATCAAAGTTTGAAATTGAAAAAAAAAGAAGAGAATTTAAAAACAATGACAAATTAATGTAGTAAATGTTAAATAATAAAAAAACAGAGAAAACATTATTTGAAAAACACTTTTAATCTAAAAATGTATTCCATAAAAATTATATATATTAATCATGACACTATAATTTAAAAATTATCTAAATTTTTTTTAAATAATAATCGTGTTCTAAAAATTTATTTCAAAATCTATACATATAGAAAAATAAATCAAAATTGTCAATAAATATAATTTTAAATTAATTAGATGACAATTTAAAAAAAAGACAAATTAAAGTAATAAATTTTATATAATAAAAATAATTAACAAAAATACTAAAACAAAATGGGTCAAAGTCACAATTTAATCAAAGTTTGAAATTGAAAAAAAAAAAAAAAGAGAGAATTTTTTTAAAAAAATGAAAAATCAATGTAGTAAATTTAAAATAATATTAAAAAATCGAGAAAAAATTATTTGAAATACACTTTTAATTTAAAAATATATTTTAATCATGCCACTATAATTTAAAAATTATCTAAATTCAAAAGAAAAAATAATCATGTTCCAAAAATTTATTCCAAAATCCATACATATAGAAAAATAAATCAAAACTATCAGTAAATATAATTTTAAATTAATTGGATGAGAATTTAAAAAAAATGACAAATTAAAGTAATAAATTTTAAATGATAAAAATAATTAATAAAAAAATAAAACAAAATGGGAAAAATGACAATATAATTAAAGTTTGAAATTGAAAAAAGAAAGAGAATTTAAAAAAAAATGAAAAATTAAAGTAGTAAATTTAAATAATAAAAATAATGAACAAAAAATACTAAAATAAAATGGAAACAAATCACAATACAATTAAAGTTTGAAATTTGAAAAAAAAGAAAGTATAGAAAAAATGAGGACCAAAGTGTTACAAAAATACCATGAATAGTGAAAAAAATAGTGATTTATGAGTGTATGAATAGTGATATGTGAGTATGAAAATAGTGTTTTAAATAATAAATGAATAGTAAAATCGTGTTTTATTGATAATGTGCTCCTGTATTTTAATGAAATTATCGTCACAATTAATGTTTTCAGATATAGTCTAAAATTAATCTTATACTATTGAAAGATGATGTAAATTAACCCCTTTATTATGTTTTTCTATTAATTTGACTAATTTTTATTAATTAACGTATGAATGATCAATACGATGTCCGCACTTATCGTTTTAATGGTAGAAACATAATTTTATTTTTCCTGACTTCATTTTAAGTTAAAATCATTTTTTTAAAAAAACGTTTCCTTCTGTCACAACTGAGCAGCAAAACAATGCGTACCCTCGACTTGCAACATCTTACGAGGCTCCTCTAATAGCTTTTTGGCTCTCTACGGTCTTATAAACAAACAAGGCGTACCCTATTGACTTCAAGTTTTCTTATCAAACTCGACTGGCCCATACTCAATTTCTCCGAATTTCTCAAAGAAATCTCTCAACTTTTTCTTGTCAATACCCACTCACACATTACTCGCATATATCTTCCTCAACCCACCATCCAATTCCTTCCATTTGGCCGCCGCCGTCGTGGCCGCATTAGAGGATCCCATAAAAGCCAATAGACAACTAGCCATCCGACTATTAACCATTCTTTTTGTTTCTTTTAATGCAGAAATTGCAGCTTTTTGCAACTTAAAAAATAAAACCATACCCTTTTGCTTTACTGATGGCGTAAGGAAAACAACTAATGGTTTTTTTTTTTTTCAATTTTAAATGTTTTTAATTTGAAATAAAATTAGGAAAAAAATTAAAAACAAAATTACTTTTTCACTCTTAAAATAAGAGATGTTGATGTTGTATTGATCATTCATAGATCAACTAACAGAAATTAGTCAAATTAATAAAAAAAACACAACAAATGAGTTAATTTAGACCAATTTTCGATAATATAAGGTTGGTTCTGGATTATACATGGGTATATGAGTTGTGACGATAATTTCGTTAAAATACGGAGGCATGAAGTGTATTAAACCCAATATTTTTTCCCACTCCTCTCTCATGATTGGGCAAGTGATATTATATTTATACTCCTCTTATGGTAATTGATATCTTTGATTGATCGTTGTTCAATTAATTAATTTTTTTTTCATCAAAATATTACTCCAAATGTTAATTATAGATAGCCATGAAATTGGTATTCCATGTAATTCTTAAACCTTTTCCTTGTGAATGAAAAAGAAATGTCATTAATACAAACAAATCATACTAAAATTTTAGAGATAAAGATGCATATATATATCAAGTGATAAAATATGAATTATACACCCATAAATATTAAGGATCGCTCTAAAATTAAGCATCAAATAGGACCATGTACATCTACGTTGCACACAAAACTGCTACAAAAAATAAAAAATTATCACATACACAAAAAATTGATATATTGCTTCATATATGATATTTGAATCAAATAAACACAACTTAGTACTTTAAAACTCAAATTGAATCCGTTATGCCAAATTGGTTTCTAATTTAATCAACTTCTAAAAATTCATCTGCATATCATTATTAGTTACTATATCCTAAGGGTTTTATCTAGCACTAATGATTAGCCTAATTGCAATCCTTGATTGAACCAAATATCAATTCAACGTTAGAATTTTCTACAATCCATGCATTTGACCTAATCACAATCCATTTTAATTAAACTATATATTAATTCAACATTATTATTATTAATGGTTTATTAACAATTCATCTGACCTAATTCTAGTCCATGTATCTCAAATTAGAACCATTACTAAATATACTAAAGCAAAACCTAAAAACATTGTGCACACACTATTCATGCACTATTCACACTCTCAGCTTTCATAATTTATTTATTTTACAATCTCTCTAAAATCACTATTCATTCATTCATTCATTATGCAAGACACTATTTAGCCAAAAAAAATATACACTTTGGTCCCTCATTTTTTGAATTAGTTTTTTTGCTCAACAATCTCATTTTACATTCATTTTGGTTCCCTACATGCTAAAAAGAGAGAGAGGGTCGGAGAGACACACAGAGAGAGATGACGAAGCCTATTTCGGCCATCTCGACCGTCAAGTTTGCTACCATTTTGTTCGCTTTGAAGAATAAAATCTATTTGTGGTGGTAGCAAGTAATGAAATGGTCAAAGAATGTAGATCAAGATCCAAAAATATTTTTAATTTTTTTTATTTTGATTTAAATTTCTATGTGGTTTTTATGAATTAAAATATATTTTGAGATTCTAAACTAGTTTGTTTATGTTAATTCTATGATTTTGAGGTGTTTTTTTGATAAAAATCGAAGCTAAATTTGGTTTTGAGAGGCTAAAAAATGAGATACCTGACTTTTCGAAAACTTTTTCGATTAAATCGAATTCTTCGAAAATTATAGTCGCTGAAAAATCAAAACAGTCTTTGTTTTTTTTTTTTTTTTCTGCCAAGGCCTAGACACACAGGAGGCCTGCGCCTTAGCTTTTTTTCCCCCTTCTTTTCTTTGATATTTTTTTTTAATTAAGAATTTTTAGGTAAAAATTATGAAATATCAAACATTATTATTTGTGTTTTTCATGCAACATGGCAAATATCAAACATATACATAATGTGTTTTTATATTTTAAAATTAATATTTATTTTAGATTACAATACTCTTATTATTTCAAATTTATTTCTTGAATTTGTCATTTCTCATGAAAATTCTCATTCAATTAATATTTTTTATATAAATTTTTGTTTACCGATAAATATGATTTATTTTTCTCTATAATTGTATTTTAGAATAAAATTTTAAAACATGATTGGTTTTTCTTTTTTTTTTTAAATAAATTGATGTAATAATTTATTTCAATCTACTAAGTATGATCAAGACGTATAAAAAAAATTACTGAATTATCGATTTTATTAAAAATTAACTACACATCTTCACTTATAACACTAACTATTTGCTATGAATATTTCTTTTAACATCATAAAAGCAATTTCTTCGAAATAAAATAATTAAAACATTTTTCTAAAGAAACTACTCAATTATTCAAATATAATTTCTTATACTAACATTATGATATATATATATATATATCTTTGTGTGTGTGTGTGTGTGTATTTTTTTTTTTAAATAATCTTTTGATCAGCATTAAATAAAAATAAAAATTTATTTTTTATTAGTTTATTTGTATACAAGTCTATATATTAATTGTAACTTTATTTTTTCGAATGCATTTTTACGAAAAATATATTTTTAGAGTTTTTTTTTTAATTCTTGATTAATATTTTAGTTTAAATTATTACCTGATTTTATTTAAAAATCAATGCTGGAAAAAAATAAATCATGTTTTTGAAGTAGAAAATTTATGAAAAACATAAAAAAAAATAATAATTAAATAGAAAAAAATTAATAAAATAATTGTAAAATAATTTTATTCTGGCCGACCGAGAATCTGTAGTTACCCACTAAAAAGAAAATCACACTGGTACCTACCAGCCTCTCAACAAAATACAGGGCTATATTATCAGCTACAGCATGCGCTGGGGCCAACTTTCCAATTTTTCCCTCCAAACCTGGTGCTGCGGCCTATAATTGACAACAAATGTCAACAGCAATAATATATCCAACAAGAGCAGGAATTAAAAACCATAAAGAATCAACGAAACATGTAGCAATGAACCTTTAATGCTATTAATTTAGGCCACACTCTTCGCTTAATATCCATCAAGTTCATCCCAGCACCATCAGTGTGATCAATACAACCATGGCTCTCAATAAAAAGAGACGCCATAAACGAGCTAACAAGGGAAATCTCCCAGTGTCATTATAAACGTCTGGGTATTTCTGAAATATCTTTCTAATCTGTGTTCCTTTGTTCGTTCATGGGCACGAGATCCTGTAACTCGTGACAATTCCAACGCTCCGCCAACAGCATTCTCAGTCTCTCTACATTGCACAGTCGTACTGCCATTGTTGAATATATAAAAAATAGATGCTGAAATTAGAGATGAAAACAAGAAAATATAGTATTTAATTGCATACAGAAAATATTTTTATACTATACTTAAAATTATTATTGCTCCTACTTATGTTGTATGAATTTTGACATTTCACTTATAAGATTCAAATTTGTATCCAAGAAATTATAGTCACCACTTCTGAGATTTCTTTAAAAGAATTTCTCTTGAAATTATAGAATTTTAGGAAGAAAAGATTTTTGAGAAGAAGAGGAGGGGAGGAGGATTTCAGAAGAAACAATTAATCATTTTTTGAGCATTAGTCTTCTATTTATAAACCGTTGAAAACTTTTCACAACCAACATGAGTGTTAAAAAACTAATTTGATTTAATGACTAATCATTACTTTTTAACCATCATAATCCAACGATCATATTCTTTTTCTCAAATTAATTAATTATCATAGAAAAATTTAATCAAAAAGAAAAAATAAATCTAAAATTAAGTGATATATATACATATCACCCACTAGCTTTCTTCCAAAACTTCTAATTTGAGTTCTTTCCAAATCATTCTAATTAAAAAATTTTAAAAGTTTTTTTTTTCCTGTTCTTTCATTTCTAACATAGAACAAACATTCTACTTAAAAACATTTTTTTCATCACATTTAACTTGTTATATATCTAAGACATGTTTTTCCAACAGCTATCTGTCCGTATTGGCAATTCCTTGATAGAAATGGCATTGCCAAATTTATCCACAAGCCGCTTTTTGGATCCATGTATGATAATATCATGGAACTCTCTTTTTCCAATAAACACTGCCATGTTGCTGCCTACTACCAGAAACAGCAGCAGTTTTTCCAAAATCCATACCCGATTTCGAGATCCTTCGAGATCAAGATCAAGAGTCCCTTCCGGCATCATGGTGGGGGAAACAATTATGCCATTGTCAAAAGGGTCTCTAAAGACACCATCTTTGTCCTCGTAATGAGGCAAATCAGAGTCAAAATGAATTTGCTCTGATATAACAACGTTGAGATTTGAGTCTAATACAGTTACCTTCAAAGACTTTTAAAACAATCAATTTATACGTATGAAACTATTACTATGTTTTTTCTGCCTGGTTGAATAAATTACATATGACCAATTATCTTCTTAGTCTCACCATGAATTTGTAATTTAATAATCAAAATTTAGTGGAAAAAAATTTATAATTAGGTAATTTGTTGCCTTTTTTTCATATGTACAAACTACAAAAATAACCTACCATGAATGAAAAGCAAAGAGAGGATGATACATTTTGCCCCCAAAAATCAAAAGGCTGTCGAGTGCTTTCACCCCTAAGATGGACATTAAAAGAGTTAACTATTATTTAATCCTGTGTTTTAGTGAAATAATTAATTAATTTCCTTAAATTTTTTTGTTAAAATTAGTTAATTTCTTTGGTTTGAAAAACCCAATATTCAATCCCTATATTTTTACATTTATTTGTAATTTAGTCGTTCCATTAATTGGTTTTTCATGAAAATTTTAACTTTTTTTTTTGGGTGCATTAATAGACTTTCACATAACAAAAGAAAAACCACATATTTGTTTGATGCAATAGACTTTCACATAAAATATAATTAAATTGTCATTCAATTATTTCAAAATTTGTAATTAATTTCTACTTCTATCTTAATTAAGTTATACAGTTTAATTGATTTAACTTAAATATGGGAGATCCATTTGTTTTAAACATGTATCTTCATCTTTTTTCTAACATATTAAGTTTTTTTAGTCTATTTTTCTCCGATCGGAATATATCTAATGGCACAAAATCAATAGTTCTTCATTTGTTTACTTCTTTTTTCTACTTCTTACTCTCATCCAGACAGACAGTTTTCCTAGGTTGGATTCCTATATTTGTCAATCTAAATGGAAATTAATAAAAAAAAAAAAATCTTAAATAAAGCATAAACAAAGGATCCCTGAAATAGCACATGACCGATTTTTCATTTTTCATCTTTGACTAATTGAGGAATCGTCCCTTTTTCGTGTTCTTTAATCTATCTCTAACTTAGGTTTGGTGTGGCTTTCCTGGGCCTGAAGCCAACATTTTCTTTTCTCCATTGAACAAAGTTTTTTTTTTTTGAAGGTATATAAAATTGATATATCTGGAATTATCTTGTACATCTAAGTCTCATTTAATGGCGATATAGGAAAGAATTACATTTCACTTTTACTTTATCATGTCACTCTAGGAAAAAATTATTTCAATCTATCACTCCATCAGAAAAAAAAAAAAAAAAAAAAGGATGTAAGAAGAAGCCTATTTGGACAGACCCTTAGATGGACGATCCTTAGATGAACGATAGGAAGTGTTGCTGGCCAACCGCTCCATGGCCGGAAGATTTACACCTATCCTCCACTTACCGAAGAAATATACAATACATTCATTAAATTAAAATACTTCTCTAATGTTATTTCTGTATAATTCACAAAAATCATAATATTATCATCATGTTTGTTCAGCAGTAATTCATCAATATTGAAAACATTTATTTCTTAATTAAAATTAAAAGTTGTTAGTAGTAAAAATAATAAATAATTTTACCTCATTTTCATGTGACTTAACATGCATCTTAACTATATAAAAAGTAGTAAGACCCAAAGATAAAGATTTTGATTTGTTTTTTGTACTACTATTCATTTATTTTTTTATCCTTGCAGTACTGTCTTTTCAACTCATCTTTACTCTTTATATATTAATTTGATTATTAAAAAATCTTCCACACAATTAAAGAGATTTATTTTATAGATATTTTTGTGAGCAAACACTACTATTACACCAACTGTGAAAGAGTTAAATCATTTTTCAAGGTTTTACGAAACTCTCATAAAAAATCATGTCGCTGTGGATCGTTATACGAACAAGCTATATTCGTGATAAATATACTGATTTAGTTTAGGCTGAAAAGATCCTTAAAATCCAGTTCCAAGAAATCAATGAAATGTGTTTCGTAACCAAAAACCAAAATGAATACTTATTTGTAAAGGGTTGGTGGGTTTCGCATGCTCGAATGAAAAGAAAGAAGAAGAAAGGACCCCCCGAAAGAGAGAGACACACTTTTCTTATTTTCATTTTAAAAAGTTGATTCCCAGTAGGACTGTAAATAGTTCTGATTTTGATTCAAATTCAATTCGAATATGATGTAATTAAATAAATTTGATAAATAATTTTTTTTATTGGAATTCGATAATGATTTGAATTCATTAATTTGTTTATTAAATGAATAAAATCCGAATTTATCTTAATTTGATCCGATAATAATCCAATCTGAAATTAAAAATGATATTTTTATAATAAATATAATATTTTTAAAATATTAAAAATTTAAATATGAAAAAAATACATAAATATAAAATTAAGTTGAAATTTAGAATTTATTTATTATTTAGTTCGGATAACACATATCCTTCTACAATGACGATTATATTTTCAAAAAATCACATAAATTTTTTATCATTTTTCTTAATTCAATTTTGTGAAAAAAAATAAATTAACTTATATATTTTTTCAAGAGTTGGTATTATTATATTTGTCATCATCCTATTTTTGCTACTAGATGGACAAGAAATAAAAATTATTTATTATTTATTTCTTTTAGTTTTATCATACTTCTTACCTAGTTTAAAACAAACTTTGATTAAGATTATTTTGATTTTTATATTTTTGAATTGTGTGATATTTTGAATTTTTTACAAAATTAATAGATAAAATATTATCTTAATATATTTTATAGTCAAGCAATATATTAAATGAGATAAATATAATTTTTTTAAAAAAAAATCAAATAATAAATCTAATCAAGTTTCGAATTCAATTCGTATCCATCAGAATCTAGATCCAAATCCATATTTTCAAAATTCAATCTAAATCCATAAGATTCAATCCAAGTTATTTTATTAAATAAATTAGATCTAAATCTGATAGTATCCGATTTGAGTCTAGTAGACAATCCTGGGTCCTACAAATTAATTTTAGCAATTAAAATGGGTTTTGCTTACCTGCTGAGGTCTCCTGGGGTAAGCATCTTGCTTGGTGGCGGAGCTCCGAGAACTAGGTCCAAGCCTGAGCAGTTTTATTTGGTGGGCTTGCTAATTGCTTTCTCATGATTCTAATATCGCTGTCCTGTCTCGCCTACCGAAGTCAGTCCGAGAGCTCCACCTCAACGTTAAAAGCATCCATCTTATCATTTGACACAGGACTTGGGCTTTCCAAAATTTGGTTCATAATTAAATAACTATTGTCAGGAAAAAAAAACAAAAACCAATATCCACTCTTAGTATCAGTATTAATCGCAGCTATCTATTATTTAAGCTCCAACCAAATGAACATTCGGAAATTAAATGATTTTGTTAATGTTTATCGCAAGCATGACGAAAATGTGGACCATTTAATACTACTTTATCAACAAAATGTACATATTATTTTGAAAATTGATCATTTTGAGTAAACTTTTGGGCTAGCATATATGAGGATCCAAAGAAACTATAGACAAATTATTAGCTTCTGTATTAGGCAGCCAAGCACCAACTCAGAATCAATCATCCAAAGCGAAAGCTTTGATTAGCTCCACAAACAAACTTGCTCTATGCATATTTCAAACACTAAAATCTTTGCTTTTATGAGTGGGTTGGATTGACATGAAAAGGAGACATGTGACATGCCAAACAATAATTCATCAGGCCGCGATAGCCAGATAACAACAGACGTGGTCCATTCGAAAAACAAGTTGAGATCTGTAAAGGAAAAAGAAGAAATCTTCAGAAAATAAACGAGTTGTCTCATGTATAGTGTCTTTTTTTTTTTTTCTTTTTTCTCTTTTTTTGGTCTTGGAAAGTTTGAAAGGTTGTGGCTCGAGGTAAACTTGTGTTCCCCAAAATTATATTTGCAGTCTCAGTTCAATTGAGGCACGTACCTGTAACAAAAGAAGGTCTGCCCCATCAGATTTTTGTCCATTTCTCCACGCAGCCATGAAATGTTAGGGATAAGATACTCCTCAACTTTGTTTGATCTCTCATTTTATTGAAAATACGACTCATGGAAAAAAGGGGCTGCTCCGCACCGACCGAAGCAAGCATTGTTTTGGATGTTTAATGTCGTTTGTCATGCAATCCTTATCTTCCCACGATCTCTGTCTCTTACAACCATGGCTTCGCTTCACTCAATTGACGTGGGGTTTTTAGGCCTTGTATTTTTGCGTCCCTCGTTACATGAATGAATAATAATAATTTTCTACATCTTTCAACAAGAGTCCAACCTTTGCTATCAAAGAGCCTTCAATAATTCGAGTGTGACGTCATATTGTACTGTGGTGTGATATAATAGTTGGTCCGCCTCCAAATGCTAAGGTAATCAAGGATTCAGAATTTACACAAACTTTTTAATCAAATATCTCTACTTTTTTCTTTTTCTTAATGAAGCATAGGTAACTCAATTTTTTCTTAATTAAGTATCTTGACTCTTTTTTTCTTTCTATTTTTGAGTATATATATGTCTACTTTTTTCTATCTAAGAGTCTTAACTATTAAATTGTTAATAACATGTCTGATAAGTACGTGGATAAATATCATCTTATTACAGAAACCACTGTTCATAAAAAAATAATAATAAAGAAAAATTGTTAAATGAAATTAAAAAATAAAAATTGAATGATGAAGATGCAAACGGTGTTTTGTAATGGAAATTTTCTATCCGGCTCGTTCCTTTTGTGGCTATTGAAAAATCTTGAAACATAATTCGTCAAAATTATTATTATTATTATTGGGTTTAGAATTTTAAAGTTTCTCAATAACAATTAACAAACATTAACACGAAAATAACAATAAAATGTAGAAATACTTTTTTTCTTTTTCTTTTTTTTTAATTTTATGAATTATCGATGCCACAATAAAAATAATATATGTCCATTTATCGAACATTTCGTCAACAATTTAACAAGGAGATACTTAATTGAAAAAACAATAGAAGTAGACGCCCAAATAAAACAATAAAAAAGTAAAGACTTATTTAATTATAACTTTTTTTTATAGATAAAAGCACTGAATTTTACATTACCTTCCTGCAAATGCAGGTCAAGTCTATATAATTTGCATCTCTTGTGAAGATACATCCACGATAGAGCTCGCACACCGTATGTGCTACATGGTTCCAAAATCAACCACGTAGACTTTAAATATTTTCAAGATTAAGTTAAAAATGAGCTAGTTTGCAAAAAAAAAAAAAAAAAAAAAAAACGAGGAGCTCAATTTTAATAATAACGTACTGGATATAATCGTGTATCTTCCATGTTCGAACCTTATTCAAGTCGACAGCTAGTTAGGCATAAAGAAAAGAAGATGAAATTGGCAGCAAAAGGGTGCGGCAACCCGTGCGTGTAAGTGCGTTGCTTATCCTGGTCAAGTACGCAAGAACGTTGGGTCCTTTTGATAACTGACAGTTACCGCATGACCTGCAATAATTTTACTTCCAATAATTAAGCTAAGTCAAACTAAAACATTAAGCTAGCAATTGATCAAGAACATCCATGTTGGTTGGTACCATGTGTAATCAAAGTCGATGATTGTAGGCTGTCGATTTCTGGCCATTTCCACAATTCATGACCGCTTGGCCCAATTGGCAGTTTGGCACCAAGTCGTTGTCCAAATTGTACGCAGGTGCATTGCTATTTTAAGACGTTAATAGACATATCGACATCTTATCCACAGAGACCATGCTGTGCTAATACGTACTATGGCTTGTTTCTCACTATTTGATAGTATACGATATTTAATGTATCTTTGTCCTATCGTCATAAAACCATTAATTAATGTATCCTATTATGATTATAACGAGAAATTAATAGGGTACATTATAACTAATGCTTCTTTCTTTCTCTCTCTCGAAGCAAATAGTATTATTGATGTTAAGATACTACAGAGCCTGTTTCCTAGTATCACGTGGTTCAACACGAGAGGGTAGAATGTTAATGACCATAAAATAAATAATTCCAAAAGGTAAATATAAGTTATGAAATTAATCCATTCCAATCGTGCGCTTTGGTCTTTTATTAGTTACCGTGGCACGTGGTAAAGCATTCATCATTGTAATATTTATTTAGATCATACGTGACTCATATATGCATGGATTATATAAAGTCACGATTTGTATGCAGCTTTTCCCAGGTAAAAAATTATATTAATGGGTTAATACCCTAATTCATCAAAAGGAGCATGTAATTCAAGAATTAGATATGTGAAGGAGTCCTTTGCATATCATCTTTAAATTAAGCTTCCAGAGGATCGAAAATCCTGATTAAAAATCAAATTTTATTATTTTTAATCCTGCAGGTAGTAAGACTAGGACCCGCATGCCTATAGGCAATTAACAGCCTATGCGTGCATAGAATTACTTATTTAATGAAAACCTAAAAATCTGGAGCAAATGAATAATGAAATCATTATTCATTTGCCTCATGTCACTGTTTATTCACGGTTACAGGTAGCTTTTTTTTTTTTTTTTAAGATGGTATTTTCGTAATTGTCCAATAATTTTTGTACATTCATTTGCAGATTTTATATTTTACTCTATTTTGGTCCTTCTTTTTTCAAAAAAAAACTTTTTTGGTTCCTCAACGTTTTTTTAAAGATATTTTCGCACTTCACGTTTTTACTTTATTTCATTTTGGTCTGTTATTTTTAAAAAATATATTTTTGGTCCTTCATGGTTTTAAAAAGGTTTTTTAGCCCTTTATGTTTTTAGATTTTAGAATAAAAATAAATACCAGATTATATTATTCTTATTGTTTAGAATTGATATTTTTTAATTTTTAATTTTTTATGAAAATGCTCATTGAATTAATTTTTTATTCTTTTTATATAATTTTATTTGTTAATAAATATGATTTATTTTTCTCTATATATAGATTTTTGAATATATATTTTTAAATAATTAATTAATTAAGTAGTAGAATTCATGTGTTTTTTTTTTTGGCATATTCTTAATATAATAAAAAATTTTGAATAAATTTTTAAAATTTTTTTATTGCATTCTATTAATCAATATATCATTTACAACTTAAGTTTTTTTTTAAAAAAAAATGTTTTATAATGCTCACTATGCCCACTGAGTATGATCATGATGCATTAAAAAAATACTAAAATAATTGATTTTATTGAAAAATAACTATGCATCTAAAATTAATTTATTTCACATAAAATAATATTTTAGAAGAACCATCAAACAATTTAAATACATCTTTTTTATACTATTATTATTGATTGTTCTGTAAATAAATATATATAAATCAAATTTGTATATTTTAAAAAATTTTAAAAAGATTTGTTCGTTAATTTTTATATTAATTGTTGTTTTATTTTTTTGATGTAATTTTATGAAAAAATATTAAGATTTTTTTAAAAAAAATTATTTATATTATTATAGATTTTTATTTAAAAAAAATGCATAATAAACAATGAATTGTGTTTTTTTAACAACAAAATCTATAAATAAAAAATAAAAAAAATGAATGAAGTACAAAATTTGATTAAAAATTATAAAACTAGATAAATTTTATTTTTTTATATTTAATTAAATATATTTTAATAGACTGATAGTATAATATAGATTATTAAAGTGAAATAAATATATTTATTTTGGCAAACGAGTAGTTTTTACCAAATGAAAAGAGAGTATTTATTAGTAGACAGATGTTGTCAATGACAGGCCAAGGCAATTATGGTCACGTTCGAAAATACTTCAAGAACAACTTACCTTCCATTTCAGTTCAATATTTCTATCCAAGGCCGAATCCAAAATTTAAGTTCCACCCCTAACTAGTGAACGCAATAGACATAAAAATTGCCAGTAGAGTTTTTTTTTTTTTTCCTTTCCTGATATATGTATTTCCTTATCCCTTCTGATAGGTACATGCACAGCAAGGGAAAAAGACATTAATTGATCACCTACTCATTTCTATACGTGTATTCTCACCAGTTTACCACCAACTCAAAATAAAAAGAAGAGAGTAATTTGTAATCACCCCCAAAGCAAGGAAATATTACGTTCCCTTCACATTTCATTTTTTATTTTTTTTCACACTTGGAATTTCTGAGAAAACCCAGTTTTCGTTTATCAGTACCTGACCTGCTTTGTATGTGGGTTTTTTTTTTATTATTCTTTAGACAACAGCATTATTACTGTCAGAGCATTTTTGCATATGGCCTGCAACCCAACCTCATGGAATCAGGTCCAATGACAAATTACACGAGATTGAGAGATCAATAACGGTTGTATAGCAACGAAAAGACATTGTTCCGGTGACAATTCAAATCCAAACTACTTTCTCAATGTACTAAATTAATTGCCTAAACTGGATTAAACACTGCGTGTTGTTTTGAAACTCCCCGAGGGGCAACTTTCTGGTATATTGGAATATCGATCCACACACAATGTGACAACGGAACCGACTTAAAGCAAAAGTGAGAGAGAGACCACAGTATTGTCCGTTGTGGCAGAGCGATCAGAGATTTCATGTTCCAAAAATTTCACAATGGATGGTTACCGTAACAAACTTTTTTTTATAAATGGTTCAAACCCATATGCTCTACAAAAGGTGGGGACCATTTAGGTTAAAGAAGACCACAAATCCACCACCAGCAGTGGCTCCCGACCCTGCCTACCAAACCTATTTGCCTCCCCCGCCCCCCCCCCAAAAAGCCCTCCACCTAGCTAGTTAGCTAACTATATAGGTCTCATAGGCAAAACATTTTCTCTCTTACGTGGTATATTAGTTCATTCATAAATAAAAAGACCGCTTGATTTTGTTTTCCTTTTTTGTTCAGATATAGCACAGCACATACTCCTCTGGTTCACTTGTGTAGTCATAGCAATTATTTACATATATATCATCGCTCACTGAGTCCTTTTTATTTCAGTGTGTGCGTCCCCTCCTGTCCACAACTCCAAATTCTTCTTTACTGTAGCCATTTCAGATTCAAAGTCAGTAAATCATAGAGAGTACCGTGTTGGAGACAGATGGCTAAAGAAATGCAAAATAGTAGCATGTACATAGAACATGACCAAGAAGGATATGAAAGCGCTGGAATTCACAAGAATCTTGATGATGATGGTCGACCAAAAAGAAGTGGTACATATGCTTGAAGAACTTATTTTCCTGTTCTTGAATTACTTTCTCTCTTCTGTTTTATGGTTATTTACTGGTTTTGTTTGTTTTAATGCGCGGTGGTTGTTTTTGAAGGGACATGGATAACTGCAAGTGCCCATATTATCACCGCTGTGATTGGGTCTGGAGTACTATCTCTGGCATGGGCCATAGCACAGTTAGGCTGGGTGGTTGGGCCACTTGTTCTCATCGCGTTCTCGTTCATCACTTTTTTCACGTCCACTCTCCTTGCCGATTCCTACAGGTCTCCTGACCCCATCACTGGCAAGAGAAACTATACTTACATGGATGCTGTGAAAGCCAACTTAGGTGAGTTAATTACACTTTTGATAACGATTTTATTACCAGATACAGTAAAACCAATCAAATTTAATTATAATTCGCTACCCCTTCGTTTGTAACAGGAGGCAGGAAAGTTCAGCTATGTGGGTTGGCTCAGTATGCGAATCTGATAGGAGTTACGATCGGTTACACAATCACTGCATCTATTAGCATGGTGTAAGTAGCCAACAAATTTAACTCTCTGATTTTTTCATTTTTAATTGAGCCATGAAAGTCAGAGACCCTGAAATTTAATTACAAGTGTTTTTAATTTTCAGGGCTGTTAATAGGTCAAATTGTTTCCACAAGCATGGGCACGCTGTGAAGTGCCAAACGTCAAATAATCCATATATGATCATCTTTGCTTGCATCCAAATCATCCTTAGCCAGATACCAAACTTCCACAAGCTCTCATGGCTATCGATTCTTGCAGCAGTGATGTCTTTTGCTTATTCTTCCATTGGTCTTGGACTATCCTTAGCAAAAGTAATAGGTAATTAATGCTACTTGAATTAAAAAAGCATAAAACATTCCTCCTAATATCCAGTACTTCTCGTGTTTGCCTGGAAATCTTTTGAGTCGTAATCTCGATTGATTGGTTTTTGAATGAATATGAAGGTGGGACACATGCAAGGACAACCTTAACAGGCTTAACAGTTGGGGTGGACGTGACAGCAGCACAGAAAGTATGGAGGACATTCCAGGCTCTCGGGGACATTGCCTTTGCGTATGCTTACTCTACTGTGCTCATCGAGATACAGGCAAGCCAACACTGTTTTTCTTTAAACTATGTGTGAATTTACATTATCTACAATTCTACATATAAGTGAAGTAGCACCTGCATATATAGTTATTAATTGTTGACTGGACCAAACATAATAATTTGATGCATATGTAGTAGGAAACTTGAAATGTGTGCCAGATTAAATGTGAGCAATGCATGCTGCTACTCCAAAAATACAAATATTTTTTTCAGCAGCTAAAGATCGTCAGTGATAGAGTACAACGGGTAAAACATTAGCACGTATAGTTTTACAAGCCAATTAAAGCACTTAAGAAAGTATGACACCGTGTTATATATCGAAGATTACATGTGATATGATTCTCAAAGAAGATTACATCTGATTATACTCGTCAGAACGATCACAAATCTGAACAAAAAGTGAAACACTGGATAGATAGTCCAAAAGCACAGCTATAGTAGCATTATCATAAGCATATTCAAATATTTGGGCACTGGGGTCCCTTTCGGTGGGTGTCCCACCAGGCCAGGGATTCCATTGGCAAGTTGCATGTGTCTCCAGATTCATCTGTAGTCCTCTGATTTTCTAGAGGATGTATTCCTGTAGGTTACAACCTGTGTGTCTACACTCTGTACTGTCCTGGTAAGGGCACTGAGTGGCCGTAGATGCTACGATCTCCAAGAGTTCCCGCTTGGCTATCGGGACGTATAATCTCACGTTAAAACTTTGAAGTTCTATCTTCACTATGGGTTTAGGTGCTGTGTATTTGATGGGTTGCAACATGATTCCAAAGATTCCTCAAGGACCACTAAGGGATTGAGGACGACAATTTTAAAACTTTGGGCCACGACATTTTTCGGCCTTTCGGGAGAGAAGTGTAGGCCCACGTTGTACTCTTTTATGCTGTCTTAGACTCTCCAATCCACCATGAGCAGGGGTTGTTAGAGTAATTAGGTGCCTTACATATATCAAGTACTAGTTTATCTATAGCTTGCAAAGTTATTGGAAAAAGAGCACAAAACCCCCTCTACAAGTTAACATAGGTCATGCAAGAAATACGTGCAGGACCATTCGCTCTCATAGGTTGATTTTTTATTATTATTATTGTTACTTTGATTTATCAAAACAGGAAGGAGTCTTTTTTTAAAAAAAGGCATATGATTATGGTAGGATAAACACAACCATACTTGGCCATACCAACACGATTCCATAAACATAAAATGCTCATTTCAGCTGAAAACAAGTGTGATTTAATATCCTTTGCACATCACTCTTGTGGTAAAGCCACATTAACTTGTGGAACTTATAATCTATCTTCATTTATAACAAATCGTACCCAATGAGTGCATGCATTTTTCAAACCACAAATATTTATTATAGAAGCGTGTAACCATAAGTTGAACTACTAAATGGAGTGATATATTCCACTATGATGTTCACGGAGGCGTAGTATCTCCTATGATTGCAGGACACACTGAAATCAAGTCCCCCAGAGAACAAAGCCATGAAGAGGGCAAGTCTTGCTGGCGTCCTAACAACCACTATGTTCTACGTTCTTTGTGGTTGCCTTGGTTATGCAGCATTTGGAAATGATGCACCAGGCAATTTCCTTACTGGTTTTGGATTCTACGAACCATTTTGGCTGATTGATATCGCTAATATATGCATTACTGCCCACCTTATAGGCGCTTACCAGGTAAAGCATGGCTATCAAGTGTCCATTAAAATTGTGCAATTTATAACATACCTTTAGTTGGTCATATTCTAAAATGATTTGCATACCCAGGTATTCTGCCAGCCAATCTTCAGTTTTGTAGAGAGCAGATGCCACAAAAGATGGTCTGGTAACAAGTTCATAACAAGTGAGCACGCCATTAACATTCCATTTTATGGTGTGTATTACCTCAACACATTCAGGCTAGTGTGGAGAACTTTATACGTTATAGTGACAGCACTGCTAGCCATGATCCTTCCATTCTTCAATGACTTCTTGGCTCTGCTTGGGGCAATCTCTTTCTGGCCATTGACAGTTTATTTTCCCATAGAGATGCACATTGCAAGGTCAAAAATGCCAAAATTCTCTTTAAGGTGGACGTCGCTGAAGATGTTGAGTTGGGCCTGCTTGGCAGTATCACTTGTTTCCGCTGCTGGATCAGTTGAAGGTCTGATCAAAGCTCTCAAGACATACAAGCCCTTCAAAGTCCAGCAATAATCCTTTACCATGATCCAAGTTTTACTCGGCTCAAGCCAGAATGTAAGAGGATCAGTCTGTATTTTATTCTCATAATGTTAGGCAATATCAAATCACCTACCTGTACTCTGTCAAAAGAAGTGAACCCAAATAATCATGTCAGAGAGAAACTGCATTAGCATTGATCGGGATCACTTATCCTAGCAATCAGAAGCAACAAGGTTTTAGTTTGGTACCTAAAACACATCTTTTTTTATAATTTTCATCTTTTAGGAACCTTAAAAACGAACAGCAATGAATGGTGCAGCCACATAAGTTGGGAACATGATTGAAGGTTCTCTATCTGGTAACCAAAATAGTCTTAAGAGAAGAAACGTGTATTGAAAGCTCTTTACACAACTCCAAAAATAGTGAAGTACTTTACCTTTCAATCCACCCCAGCCATCAATGAACCTAGGCTTGAGAGAAGAAACGTGTATTGAAAGCTCTTTACACAACTCCAAAAATAGTGAAGTACTTTTCCTTTCAATCCACCCCAGTCATCAATGAACCTAAGTAACAAGAACTGCTGAAGCATCTGAATCATCAATCATGAACTTTAATATTCCAAAGCCCATTCCACGTATGTCTATTTGTTCTCAGCTAGAAAATACATATCTATTGAATCTTTCAGTGGCTCCCTAAGTTTTTTCATATCCTAACAACTCCTAGTCTTTTTAGGTCTTTTAATGGGGCCGAAACCCAATAACGCAAAGGAACTGATGGCTACATATATGGGGGTATGGAAGTCCCAAAAACAGCCTGAAATAAAGGGGTTGCAATGACAATAAACTCCTATCCATCAATTTTGTGTACACAAGGAAAAATTACTTAAATTTGGTAACAAGATTAGAAAGAAAACAGAGGAGAAAATCGAAGCAATAGCTATGATAACAAGAGAGATATCATGTGAATGGGAAGATTAAAACAGGAAGAAAAGGGAACAAGTCATCCGGTGTCAGCACTAGAAAAGCTAAAAATGTTCTTAACCTAACAAAACAGTCAACTGAAGGACAGCATTGAATCCATGAACATCGAACCATCAGAGAACAACAAAATCAATCATATATCAAACAGAAAGGAATCTATGTTCTACTGCAGGAAACTCCTCTCTATTTTCTTGATCCAATTTGATATTATCCAGCGTGAAAAAGAAAAATGAGATCACAAACAGCGAACTGGGAACGTCACAAGTAAAACACCAGTCATTCATGGAATCAAGCTGAAAACATTTTCTTTTTGATATAATACAAATTTGATTATATTCTCAGTAAGTCATATAACTTTTCACAGGAGATGTCTCTGACTTCAAGGGTCAATAATTTCATTATTACTCATGGTGTTGGCAAGATCCATTAACCTGAGCACGTACTTTAAAATATCTCCGCATGTTCTCCATCAAGTTTGGAATCCGAAGTAACTAAGACCTGTTTGGCTAAGTGGGGCTTTGGCATTTTTTAGCTTTTGGGGCTTTTCCCCCAAAAGCCAATGAAAAGGTGTTGAAAGTTGTTTTGAAAGCAATTTAGACACCAAAATTCAGAAGCTATAGAATGAAGCTTTTTCTTTTGAATCTTATGCAACATAAAAGCATTTTTAACCGCAAGCATTACCAAACAGTTTTACAACCACGGCCACAGTAGCCACAACTAACTGCCCCTGCCACAGGAAAATCCACAGCTAAAAGCCACAACTCTACCAAATAGACCCTAAGAGAATAGAGGGATGGCATAATGAGACTAAATAGACATGCTCCAGGAGAAATTGTATTCCTGATATCCTGACAGCATCCAAAATAAATGTCAAAATAATATGCTATATCACTCTAGGGATATATCAAAAAACAACCCCCCAAAAAGCAGCTCAAGCAAGATAAAAATATATTAATTAATCTGTTCTGTAATTGTTTGCGATTTTGAGGTGGGGCTTATAGGATATTTGTAGACAGCAGCTGCATTTCCTCTCCTCTAAACAGAAAACTATTGCTATCTAGATCTGTGGTTGGTGTAATGACAAAAGGAATGACTGTTGCATTTAATACTGGCTAGCAATGAAAAAGTGTGCATCCTTCAGAAAACTAACACCGATTAAAGTGCAAGTGCACTGGCAGAATCTCCTCATTTATTTGATACCTTAATCAAGGAATATCAGTAAGTCAGGCATGGTGAATTCATCTAATATGTGAAAAATTATCGTGAGTGAATAAATAGGATGGATCAGCATTAATCAAAGATTTTCCTTGCCATTTAATAGAAGTTCATCATCCCCAAGTTTCATGGATGCCGAAGGTACAATTTCATCATCATATAACTCTTCATATGAGATTGAACACACACACAATCCAAGAAGGAACTAATCAATCTGCAAAGTATGATATTTGTTCATAGGTAAGTTCAGATGGGTTTTACTGTACTCACAAAAACTGCCAAATTTGAATTATGGTGATCTTCAATCATCGAGATCTTCAGTGACAGCAGAGATATCAAGTCCCAGTTGCAGTTGAATGAATCAGTTTCTTTCCAAAGCTCTGAAATTAACGAGCCAAGAGAATTAGGCATATCTATCATATTTGGCCCTATTGAGTGTGGCCTATTAACATCTAATCATATTCCACGATGCTCAATTTCAATAGTAAATTAGGGGGAGTGATTAGAAATATTTACCTTATCAATAGGTTCAGGAAGTCTCTCTTTCACTCAGAACAAATGCTTGAATAAGACTCTGCGCTGCATGGGTCTGTTCAGGCGTCCCAGATATTATAATCACTGTTTCAACAGCTCCTGACTTTGGCTCATTAATTGTAATTTTTGCATCAGAAATCTGAAACAGTAACAGCAATAATGAAATTCTCAAGCCCACATATCAAGGTTTCTTAACATTAAGAGAAACTGTTAAAATAAACAGTAATTAAGAGAATCTCGAATTTGGAAGGTAGAATAAATAAAAACCCAACCCTGCCTTATTGCATAAGCATATAGTATGAAAGCATCGTTCTAGATTCCCTGTAATTAGCCCAAAAATTATAGATAAGGCCATTCCTGGAATAATTTTTGTGCATGAAGGTTTATTAGAGTATTTGTTTTATATTGCGTGACAAATAAATGAATGAGTATATCATAGAATATACCTGACGAATTTGTCTCAAACATGCACCATCTTCTCCATAAATAACAGGAACAATGGTACGAGGAACAATAACTTCTATAGTGGTACTTGTAATGATAGCTGGATGGCTCACCCTGTATGCATAATTCACAGAAGCAAGCATAGACGAACAATTTTAAACCTACAGTTTACATAAGAGAGAGAGAGAGAGAGAGAGGGAGGGAGGAGAAAGGGAGAAATTAGGGGAAAATAATAGAATACGCATACCCTCCAAAACCTGAAATTCTTCTTTGTGGAGGAGGTCCTGCAAAGTCTGGCAAGCCCATTGGGCCACCAGTTTCAACAAGTCCCTGCAAAAAATAAAGACAAATTACAACCTAGCATAAAAGTGTTACGAAATTGACCAATTATAATTGATGGCTATTTTTTTTAGTGTAGAACATAAAAATTTCCAACACCTTCTTGTAAATGCCAGAAATGGTAAAGGGTAATCCGAAAGGAAAACTGGCATATGGCTAGGGAACAACTGTCAAAAGGTTGAGACAAGCTCAAACAGAGCATGTAAGAAAGGAGACAATTCACTACCTGAGGACCCCATGGTTTTCTTTCAGATATATGTGGAGGCATCCCTGGTCTATGAATATTGTGAATGAAAGGAGGATGATCGTCATGAGGGAGGAAACCGACATGTGGAGGTGCACCAACCATTCCATCAAAATTGGGAAATGAATGGAATGGAGGAGAGAGTTCCCTCCTTCCCATATATGGAGGAAATGGAGGCACTTGATTCAGAAAGGCTGGATTTGAAAGATGGTCCATGGAAGGAAATAAATCACGGAAGAAATGATGCCTTAACCTAGTGGTTATCTGCAAAAGAGCCTCTTTAACTACTTCAAACTCTCCGTTTATCTGTCCAAAGAGAAACAACACAAAAGGCAATCACATTGACTTGCATATTCATCATAGGATGGCAACTCTGTCATGTATAAAACTGCTGATGCTATTAAAGACATCAAAGGCAAAACATTCTCAAAGGGATGCAACTTGGTAGATTTAAAAGCCCTATCACATCAACCTAAAAGAAAAAAATGTAAAAAAATGTACCTGAACCACTCCTTCACTTTCTGAAGCACAATTTGGAATCTGATCCTTCCCAAGTATACGAATATAAGCACCAGATGACTTCCTCATCTCAGCCATGATGGCGCCACCCTTGCCAAGGAGACAACCAATTTGATTAGAGGAAACAAGAAGCCTTGCTATTACAGCCTTTTCTTTGTCAGATATAGCCATAGCTATCCTGGTTTGCACCCGAATAACTGCATCTTGAGGAGCTGATATCCTATCATCTGGGTGCTGCAATGATTGAATTGTTGTCAGGCGATATGCATAACTTAAATGAATGGCCAAGAGAATCACTAGAACTTGAAAGTCATAACGTATAAGCAAGGAAAGAAAGGCAAACCATACCGCAGGACCAGAGATGACGATAACTCGGTCCTCTGAATCAGAAACTCCTTCCATAACTTTAATCTCACAGCCAGTTTCTTGCTTAAGGGCCTTTATTATTGTCCCTCCCTTTCCAATGACACCTCCTACTCTCTCATTGGGACACAATAAGCGGAAGGTTACTGCCTCGGGCACAGGCTTCATTTGATCTTGAATGACACTTTCATGACGATCCCAAGGTCCACCAGCATAAGGTTTTCCACGAGCAGAAAAAGAATGGCGTTGCGGCAGGTGAGCTTCTGACCTGTAATGACGATGGCCAGACGAATGAGATGAAGTCCCAGTAGGATTGGTACGGAAAGAGTCATAATCCCTAGGTGGATTATCCAAAAGCTGTTTAGAAACTGATTGAAGAGCTTTCCTAACTGCATCAATCTCTCCTGTTATCTGCAGCAACATCATCGAATATGTTAGGAAGTTAAGAATTTATGTATCCAAAACATGTGCCATCATAAATTTCAGATGTGAAAACCATTTGTCCAAGGCAGCATTCATAACAATCACTGTCAAGGTTTCACTCTTACTGTCAAAGCACCAGGCCATTGTAATTTGTAAGAAGTAAAAAACCAAAGTAGCAATGAAGATAGAAGTAATCAAGCTAGGTTGCAGGAGTCCACCAAGCACTTGTTATAGAATCCAATGGTCATAACTAATTAGAATACTAAAGTCATTAGCAAAACTGCAAGTTAGAGATCTGGACAATTAAACAAAAGCAATCCACTTCAGTGAGATTAAATTTTGCAATCAAGTTGAATTGTTTGGCTTTGTCAAGATGATGGGATCATGAAATCTTACTTGTGACACAGATAGTCATATATGTAATGGTTCCGAACAAATTACCTTGTTTTGTAACAAACTTTGCAACCTCATTCCACCCTTATGCTAAGTGACATTGCACATTCTAATCTTGTCAGATGTACAACATCAGTTGATCAATGTAAATATAAGTGATAACCATTTGTGGACATAGTGAATAAAAAGGGTGCAATGGTTTCTATTATCAGTGACAGTATTGCAGGAAAAAAAAATGTAATATTCAATTACCTGAACTAGCTCATCAGAAGCTGATGAACATATGGGCAGTCCATCCCTAGGAGAGATCTTAACCTGTGCCCCACTTTCAGCTGACATTTGTTTGATTACACTGCCACCCTTTCCCAAAAGGCAGCCAACTTGACTAGAATGGACAAGTAACCTCAAAATAAAAGTAGAAGGCTTGTTATTTTCCTCATCCACTCCATCCGTCACCGGATCTGCTTCAACCAATTTTTCCAAAAAAAGCAACAATGCTTTCTGCAGTGATGAAGTTTCTTTTACAGTCCCTGAGTCTTCTTCAGGAACACTTTCCTTATTTCCTTCATTCTCATTGCCATCGTTTTTATTATCACTCTCTTCAGCCACAATGGCCTCTTTATCAACATCCTCTTTGCTCTGTTCAATACTGACTTCAGTCTCTTCGTCAGAACCAGTGATGACAATTATCTGATCATCACATCCAGGGATATTTTCCTCGACAATAACCTTTGCACCAGTTTCTTGACGAATTTGTGATATAAGGGCACGATCTTCCCCAATAACACTACTAATTTTTGAAGCAGGACATAGCATACGGAGACCTACAGTACCATGAGAGGATTTCAAGGGTTGGGTGGGGGAATTTGCGCCAACTGTGTTTCGCCGCTTTCCTTTCCCATTGGCCTCCGTGGACTTCCTATCATGCGATCTCTTTGAAGGCGTCAATGCAGTAGACATGCCCACAGATAATTAGCAAATCTATTTTACTGTAATCTGCACATTAGCAAAGCCAGGGGAAAAAATCCCGACTGAATCAGAAAATAGAAGAATGTTTGAAGCTTGAAATGAAAATTACAAATAAAAACCCTAAATCTGAGAAATGCGGCGAATAAAATTTGAATCTTCTAACTCATTTATTTTTGTGTCTCCAAGTGAACATTCCAATGATTTAAATTCAGTGAGGCTGAAAATTCAATTTTACAAAGCCAAAAATAACATAAGTTAATACATTCAAAGAGAAAGAAAGCATTCTCTATGTTTCTCCTCGCTTTCTCTCGCCAACCAACCAAACCAAAGAGTGAATTTTCATTCAAAAGGAAACGAAATAGAAAGTTAAAATAATAGAGAAAGATGAATTAGAATCTTTGATACTTACAGATTTTTTAAGAAGCTAACTAAATTGATGGTCTTTGTGATAGAATTCTGGTGGCTTGGCGCTCAACTTTTAGAAAGAAACGAAGGTGTAACTCTGATAAAACTAGGTTTTTGTAGATACTAAAATATGTCGTTTGAGAAAGTAAAAAAGTGAAACAAAAGTCAAATCAGGGGACCGGTTCACGTGGAAGTTCCCGTTCGGTTTTTAAACTGTCTCGCTGAGAATTTGTTTCGGCGAAGAAAACTTCCGTCAATATACTAACAGTCAATTGACCTGCTCCGTTTATCTGCTCACAGAGGTCTGTTTGGCACTGTTGTTGTCTTGCACGATTCCTTGCTGTACCTCTTGAGATGGAAGGTTACCAGTAAACCTCGGGTAAATTTTAATTTGCTCTCGTGATCTTCGAGATGTCTTAATTCACCTCAAGAGTTTGATTTGTATCAATCAGGCTCTTTGATTTGCATTGTAGTTTGAATCTCTCGCTCCGTCCATTTCCATCTTGGACTTGATAGACAATGAGGCTTCAAATTGTGGGCATATCTTTGAAAGGACATGTTAATGGTATTACAATAAATTATAATATTTTATAGAGGATTGAAATATGAATTAAGATCACGTATGTTTTTTTGTATTTTTTAAATCGTTTTAATTGAAATTTTGTATTATTTTTTTGCATTGATTGAGAACTCTTTATTTTATTTTTTTACAATTTTTTTTATTATAACACCGTTAGTTTGTGAATTAATGGGGCATGTTACAATCTTGAATACATGATACGTGTTACCAAAATAATTTAAAGAATACATAAACCAATATATTTTTCTTTTTTTACTTTTTATGATATTGCTTTTTAAAAAATTCATATTTGATGCACAAAATGTGTTATATACGAGACTCCATCACACTAGAACTCGTAAACGATTTTTAAAATAAAAAATTACTAGCATAAGTTAAATATATAATAAAATAATTCATAAAACAGACAAACAAACAAGCCTAACATGTAATTATCAAATACAAGTATGATGATATGCGGTATTAATCGATCATGAATGCAACACTCCCAACGTAAGACCTAAAAGGTTGAGAATATTATCGTCGTTAACCCACATTCAAAGTGCAATGAATGCAAGCTAACAAGACACTCGTAACTTAATCTTTATGTCTAAAGTGAAATCTATGTTTTAAAAATCTAATATTAGCTAGGTAGGTCCTATGCTTTAACTTAAAAGACGTTATAGATTTTTCGCGTTTGATCGATTTACTCGGATACTCGAAACTCGGATTCGAGATTATTTGCTTGTTCAAATCCTTTCTTTACTAACTAGTGTAATTCACCGAGATGTAATTCCTTAATATCAATTATCGTGATATTACTTATTCTCTTTCATTTTTACTATTCTTTTTATTTAACGATTAATTAAGAAATTCTCCCGAATATTCAAGGATGCTAGCATGCAATGGGCAATTTAAAGTAATTACACTACTATCGATACACTATCATTTTACTATCGGTATTACGGTTCATACGAGTTACTAATTTGCATACAAAACTATGTCCACCTAGATCCCGAAGGCCCATCCAATGTATAACCGTTCGGTGCACTCCTCGAAAATCAGCTCCGTAGAGAAATAAGCCATAGTATCTTATTAATCTACACCACAAGGAACTATATAAGCTACGACCAAGTAAGTTAACGTATGCATGTAGTGTACGTCATGTATAAAATACTTATACATGCATAATAAATCCTTTTTATCTCATGTCATAAACGAGTCTAAAAATCCTTTTACTTGTCTTTGGACATGCCCATTTAGGTACTTTAGGGTTTCCATAACATATGTCTAACGAATCGGACCCATCAACGGATACGTCCCACCGAGCCTCTAAAAGTGCACGTCTACACTTGCTCACTCCCGAACCATTACCATTATCATTACCATATGGAAAATCCATGAAACCCATCCTTATAAAAATCCTCAAAGTCATCAAAATCCTTTTATTTAAAATACTTCCGATCGCTATCGGAAACTCATAACATAAAATACGTTTTCATGACTTAAAACATTATTCATGAGTTTTGGCATGCATATGCATTTTTAATGACAATGCATGCTAACAACGATACTCAAGTACATGTCCTAAATGGTCGTATAACCATGTTATGAAAACATGAATAAAATCGAACAGACATAACGACATAAATAACATCAATCCGTATCAAATAGTACAATCATTATTGGCGCATTAATTACAATAACCACAATTCTCATCACCAATCACAACTCAAGCATAACCATCATTCATTATTCATGGCATCACATACATCATTGGAAAGAAAATAAAATCATAACACAAGAGTAAGTAAACAATTATATTTCATTTTAGTTTTATTGATTTACTTTACATTTTAACATTTCTAAGTTATTTCCCTTATGCTCCTAATTACCCTTTCGCATCTAGCATTTATCAAATTAGGTACTAATCCATGTTCTAACTTAATTAAATATTATTCCATTGATTACGTAGGCCAATTTCGGTTTGGGCCTAAGGTCTAATTTTTCCTAAATCAATTTTTATTTAGATTTTCATGAACACTTTTATTCTAACCATCCTTTTACATTATCTTGAGCATGAATGAACCAATTTAGGGTATGGAACTTAATTTAAACTTGATTCCCAAAATTCCTCATTTAGGCCAAATATTTCACCATTTAATTTCTTAATATTTTTCTTCTCATTTTGCCCTACCATTTTAATACTAAGTAGAATAAATATATATTCACTATAAGAATCAATTTAATTAAAATTTAGAACCCTAATTCTTGTCCAAACCCGCATTGGGCCCTAATGGGCCGAAATTGGGCCCAAGCCCATATAACCCATTTTCTTTAATTTTCAGCAAATTTTCCATTTATACTCATCAAAACATGCGTATTCAAGTGTGAATGACCCATCAAACCAGAATCAAATTTCTTTGAACTCAAACCCTAATTTATTTAATTTAGGCCCAATATAATTTCTAAAAATCAGTGGATTTTTATTCAATTAAAGTGTAATTTTTCATTCCTAAACATTAATTGATACTCAAATAAGTCATAATCAAGTGTCAAAACACCAATTAAATGAAAGAATTCAAACCCCCCAAATTTAGGTCATTAAGAACCCTAATCCTAATTTTTCTCAATTGAGCAATTAAATCAAATCAAGCAATTAAACATGAAATTGACTTGAAATTAAGTATTCTTGTGGTGTATGTGACATTAACTTACCCGTCCGAGCTCTAATTAGACTCTAAAAAGGTAGATTGGCGAAGGATTTCTCTCGCCTCCTCTTTTCCTCTAAATTTTTGAATTTGATCTTCGAATTTTTTCCTTGATATTTTCGGCTTTCCACTTAAACTTCAAGCTTCTTCTACTGATTAGAGGTGGATAGAGTTTATTAAAAATGTTTTGGGTGATTTTTAAGTGAAAATTTTGTAAGAGTTTTCTTTGTATTTTTCAATTTTTCCTCTCATTTTTACTTTTTCAGTAGCCCTATTTATATGAAATTTTGTGGAATCATTGAAATCGTCTCCACTCTTAATGTGGGAAAATCTCAGCCCTTAATTCAATTTTTAATCATTCATTTGCGTTTTTCCTAATTTTTAGCCATTTATTCACCTTTTTATTTAGCCCTTCCACCTTGCTTATTTTTTTCCATAATTTTTACTGGAAGTCAGAATTAATTAATGATATAGGTCGGCCAAAGTTAGGAGGAAAATGAAAAATTTTGGTCCTCCAAGTTTCTAGACTTTTCCATATCTCATTCTTTCCTAAGTCTCTCTTTTATGCAAAAACTCACTTCTAATCCTCCCTTTTCCGTTTCTATGACTAATGTTTGACCCTTAACATTCTTACATAATTTAATGTGGATTATTAAACTTTTAATTTTATGCAATTGAGTCCCTAATTTTATGCAATTTAGTCCCTACTTTTAAAATTCCGTACTATACTCTTAAAAAATACAATTTATTTTCATAATAAATTCAAATATTTATTAAGGGATTTTATTTTAAATTTTCATAATTTTTGGACCTCATTTGAGCCTCTAAATTAACTATTTAGTGTGAAAATCACACCGTTTTTTATTAAAAATATTCCCTATACTTAATAAAATTAATTTAAATTTTCTAGGAACTCTCACACCTCCCATATGATTATTATATGCTCTTAAAAAAATTCCCCATACTCTTAAGGTGCCTAATTAAATTTTTTTCCTTTAAAAATACTATTTGAACACATCAAAATTCAAATAAAATATTCATAGCACATAATAAAATTCACCCAAGTACATAAAATAATTCAAAAACCCTCTAACAATTATTCTAAGCACACAAACTATTTTTCATGCTTAAACCAGATGCTTTAATTAGTTATTTCATGTAAAAACTACTATTCATGCATCGTAAAATCAATAAAATATTAATTGAGCATAAAATGACTATTTTATCTACTTTTAATATTTTCTTTGATCTTCTGTGAACTACTTTATATCTTCAAAATATATCTCATATGTTTTAAAATATTTAATTTTTATTTAATTTTAGTTTTAGAGAGTACCGGTTATTACAATAAATCCGTAGTTAATATGTCTAGTCCTCTGTAAAAAAAAAAAATTTGAATAATCGACTGATCCAAAACAAAAAATGAGATTGCTCCCTAAAACAAAATAAGAACTGCACCATAACTTTTTTTTTAATATATATAATTAGTTATTGGCTGACATTGCTATTGTTTTAGTTTTTATTTTGATAAATATATGTGTACTCTATTTAAAATTTTATAGAAAATTAAGTTCGTTTAGCATGTATTTTATTATTTTAAAATTATTGCATTAATTTTTTAAAAAGAATACTCTTCGTGATAAATATATGTTTTATTAGAGTTTTATATATGATACATTTCATTTTATGAATTGTCTATTTCAAGATACAATAGTCCTATTGTTAATTGTTTGATTCTATTACAACTCTACTAAAGAAAGAGCCCAAAGCACCGTAACCAAAATCTTTTTCTAACTATAAAGTCTCCAAAGATATCCATTAATTTTAGATTTCAATGCTTTTGCTCCATATAACAACTTTAGCATTCTTATGTATTTATAGAGGATCCTATTCATATAACTGTGTTAAATAACCTTTTGGATCAATACAATAGAAGTTTATTTATTTATTTATCTTAGTTAACTTTCGTATAATTTAGAAGAAACATGCATTATTGAAAGTATGTTTAATTTAAGAAATTAACTTTCATTTAACTTTTTTTTTAAAAAATATGTTTTAATATTAAAATGAAACAATAATATCTTGGTTTTTATTATTGAAAGTAGATAATTTTCAAAATTAGAAAGTATATCTTATGAGACATGACGCTTTTTATCATGATGAATAATAATAATAAATTTAATCATTACATTGATTTAAAAAAAAATAGAAACTTTTTTCGACCATACAAATGCATCAAATAACGCAAAAGCAAATGCTTTTTCATGATCCAACCATCAACAAGGTTTTTTAAAAAGTTCATCCCTACAAATTTAAGATGATCTTGATCATGCTTTGATCAGAAGAATTTTCAAGCTTCGAACTCTTGCAAATTTCCTTGAAAAAAAGTTTATCACTCATCGTTCATATAGCCCTTGAAGAAATTAAGTGTCTAGTCCACAAAATTCTTATAAAAACCGAGAATGTTTTGAAATATAAATAAAATATAGACGGGTTTTCTCCACCCACCTGTTAGCAATTAATACCCCGCACAACAAGAAAAGGCCAAACTGTAAGATCTGATGCTCACATGGCTGGCGGGAAGCGTTCACATTTCATAGTCAAAATTGAAATGCTAATTTAATTATTATATTTCATGAGAGAATTACACGAAATCGTCAAAGGAAGAAATTAATTTACCTCTCTATGCTAACACTCCATCTTACCGGCATTTAATTTTAAAGAAACATCCCCACGCAACTGTGTAGCTCAAAAAAAAGAAAGAATCAGAATTCAAAAGTCAAACTCAAAAAGCTTTCAATTTGCAGCTCAGAAAAATTCCATTTTTCCTTTGGGCCGAAGAAAATGACAGAATAAAAAAAGGCCCATAGCTGACGTGGCAGTTATTAAAGCATTCTCTAACTTAACTCGCAAGTCACTATAGCCACGGTCATCCATTGACCCAACGTTACCCTCTAACTACCCCTCAATTGCCAAGCCACTCATACCCCAAAATACCCTTATAAAACGCGAATGCCTAATACCGTCGCTGCCTTAATAAAATAAAAAAATTAGCCAGGGTATTTTCGTCAGAAAGTATCCCACTCCAACAGAAACTGCTATAAAAATCCCGGGTTGACATACAGCTGAGTTCTTGATTCTGCCCTGCTCTTGTTGATTTCTCTACCAACACCAAGAAAAAGCTAAAAGGGCTAATGGCTGAATCCACTAGGGTTAGGGTTCCATCACAATCACCATTATCAACATCACCTAACCCTAAAATTTGCTACAATCACGCAATCAATTGCTGCTCTGCTCGATCAATCCTCGCTAATCATGCCAATTTCATCAACAGTGGAGCGCCGGATAGGTTCATGTACTTCAATCACGATGGATCCTGGATTGATTTTGAAAACGAAGTTTTGGAGTCTCTCAAGCCAGTTTTCTTGGACGGCAAGGCGGTGATTGAAGTATCGTTTGGTGAGTCAAGGTATTTATTTGATTTTACGCGGATGTTGCAAATTGATTTTGATTCAGGGATTCAAAGATCAATTGCGTGGATTGATGTGAATGGGAAATGTTTTTTTCCTAAAATGTTTGTGCGTGAAGATTTTGGGGATAATTTAGAGGATGAGGGATTGAATAGTCGTAAAATTGAAATCGAAATCAATATTGATGGAAATTCAATTAAGAGAAACAGGGAGGATTTTGATGATAACGATGAGCTTGAGTTTAGTTCGTCGAAGAAAGAAGAGGAGAGTGGATTAAAACGGCAGCGTTTGGGTATGCGTGATGTGGGAAATCCTAGGTGGCTGAATTCGAGGGTATTGAGAGAAGAAGAGAAGAGTTATTCACTTGTGAAGAATTATTTTTTGTCTGGTATGAAGAAAATTGATCCCTGCGTTGTGATTGGTGCAATTCATCAATGTACGCGCAACGGTCATTTAGAGGAGGCTCGTCAAGAGGTGTTTCAAAAGCAGATTGAGATTACAAAGGCAGCCAGAGGTGCTTCGAATACAGTGTATGCTTGGTATGGGGCGCCTGCTAGGGAAGTGGAAAGTATTCTGGCCCATGGGTTTGGTGGGCCTTGCAAGGTTTCTGCTATTGAAACTTATGGTGTTGGTGTATATTTGTCTCCTTTTGGATTGCCCCATATGAGGTAATACATTGTGCGTTGTTTGAATTTTTTTTAGTTTTTGGAGATTTGTTAGGTTCTTTTTTTTTTCCCCCTCTCTTTATGCCTTTTTGATGATTTGGTTTTTTGTTTTCAGCGCCAAGCTCTCAGAGGCAGATGATAATGGCGAAAAATATATTATACTATGTAGAGTAATATTAGGTAATGTTGAGAAAGTAGCGGCAGGCTCTCGACAGTATTATCCCTCTAGTATTGATTTTGATACTGGCGCTGATGATCCCAAGAATCCCAATTGGTATATTGTTTGGTCGAGCGTTATGAACAATCATATCATCCCCGAGTGTGTTGTGAGCTTCAAATCTTCTGTTAATGTTCCAGGTAGATTATGGCACCTCATTTGCGTAGGTGGCTCATTTTAGTTGTCAATTTTGTATAGTGATTTTATTGATGTTTTTTTTTTTTGAATTTATATATATTAAGGTCAAGTGAGAGGATCATCTTATACAAAGTATTCCCTTGAGAAATTGTTTTCAAAGTTGAGGAGTTGGCTTCCTCCTGGAAAAATTAGGGAAGTGGCAAAGCTATATGATGTTTATAGGGTAAGTAGGCAAATAGCACCTTTTATTGTAATATTGTTTAGTACCCTAAGTGTTGGAGGATAATTTTATACTGGTTTATTGTTTTCCAGGCTGGCAAGTTGACCAAAAATATTTTCATAAGGCATTTGCGATGTGTTGCGGGGGATGATGTTCTGCTATCTACTATTCGGGAGATTCGTAGTTCCGAATAAGGTTTTCTGGGTTTTTGTTTTGTTTGGTTACCTTAGTGCTACTTTCGGAAAGGTGTATCAAAATGATGAGCGACCTGCAATGTCATTTCACAGGATTACCATATCATTAGTGACAAAAGATTATCATGTGAAACTTACTTCATAGTTTTTTTTTTCCCCTTTCCCAAATATAGAGCAGCAACTTTGTTTTAGTTAGATGGTAAATATGCTTGCAATTTCTTTTGTTTTATTATACTGGTATTTTGGTGGTCTGACATGTTGAAGCCTTGTAAATTGCATAAAGCTGCTATTATGACTTCAACATTGAGAATTATGTTGTATCGTTAATTTCATGCTAGTGTATTCAAAGAAAGCTTCTGGATGGGCAATATCCAATTTCTGTGTGCAAGAATTTTCACAATGGCTGAATGAATCTCCCTGTTTCTATATTGCGTTTTACTGAAGGTTTGGTATAAATGCGCATCAATTCATGCATTAATCATATTTGGGTGTTCTTTTGACATGGTATTGTGCATAATTTCATCAATAATTTCCAGTACAACTATGTTGACTATGAATTTAAACATGACCCTTATTAGACATGGTATTGTGGGTGTTAATGTCCTTTTATTATTATCACCCTTCAGAAGACCTTCATTAAAAAATTATATGAAGTCTGTAGACCACCACTTGCTTATGTGCTGGTGCTTTCAAGCTATGGTATCTGGGAATGTAATTGTTAGTGAATTGCAGCTTGCTAGTATTTTCACTCATTGTATGAGGATTCAGATGAACTGTGCATTTGGTTCTGTTAGACTTTTGTTAAAAAGGAGAGATGCTTTGAAGCAAAGAGCGATTATGCAAGGGAGATAATTGTTGTGAAATTTCGTGGATGACTGGGCTCACTCACTGTTTAAAGATAATTTATCTACATCAAGAAATGTTGATTTTGGTACTGAATTAGCCACAAACTAAAACTGGGAAGTTTTCTTTTTTAAAGAGAGCAAGATAATCCATGCTGCTTTTGGGAAAAGGGGGCAGTTACTCTTGAGCGAAGAATTGGGCGTAGATGAGATATATCCAGTGCTGTATTTGCTTGGCAAGTTGGCATAGGCCTAATGATCTTCCAGTGCTTGACTTCTCAAACATGCAAGGAGGTCCAGTTTTTTAATTCCTTCAGGTTTGCATATTCTTGCTCCAGCTTACGAAGGAAATATTGAATCTTGCACACGGAGTTAAAATTTTCATAGCAGTATACGTTAGAATCTAGTATTCTTTTAAGCTTCATCAGTTTGTATTTCAGGAGTGTTATCAGAGTCTAATAAAATGAGATGAAACGTCAATTTTCTTTTTGTTGTGTTCAGATCATGAGAAAGGCAAGGATGGATTGCTCTGTTCTGCCTGTCTTTGCTTCATCGTATCTGCATTTTCATTTCTCTCTGGTAACTAGATTCTTGTTCCTCCATCACTGCCAGTTGATAATTACTTTAACTGCATTTCAGGTATGTCATACTTTAAGTTTGAACATGCTTCCTTTTATCTATGAGCATCACTTCATTTTCTCCAAAGTTTCGTATATCGGAGACATTGTGCATTATCTTCGAAGCTTACTGTGTTTCGAGAGAATTCTTAACTTGAAAGCAGGAATAGCTGATGGTACTTATCGTGGTTTATACTTTCTGCCTAGGTTGCCAAAGAAAAAGTCACAGCTGGTTGCTGGGATGAGATGCTGCTTTCCATAATTATATGGAACTTTGCTGGCCTTGAAGAGGTTTTTCCAGTTTTTTGTTTCATTAGTTAGCATTTAGGACTACAGGATACCATTCATATAACCATATTTTGCATTTCTGAATTAACTGGAGTGAGCAAGTATTAGTTTTTGTCCATACAATTCAAGAGGAATTAACTGTTTTTTGCTGTGTTATCATGTTCCACTTTTATGAGATTCTATTATCTCATTGAGAGTACTTTTACAGACTTCTTATATCCAGTTGTCTTTTATCCTTCTAGAGAAACTAGGAGATATGAAATGATTTCTGGTCCATTTACCTGTGGTAGTCTTTGAGGAACTTAGGAAAACTTTGTGAATGGGAAACAATAACTTTAAAGTGTCATATATGAGGTAACGTGACTACTTGATCTGTTTTTGAATAATCTATAAAGTCTATTTGGTTGTACAGACAATTTCAAGTCCATAAGTTTTGTTTTACAACATGTACTGCATTTTATATCTTCTTATCCCTGTTTCTTTCTTCGTATACACCAGATAGTAATCTCGACATTGAGGGGTCTCAATTGCGTACTAATCCATCTTCCCGCTGTATCTCTATTCTATTTTTCCAAGAACTGGACTGGTAGAAACACCAAATCAAATACCAATTTTCAGTAGCTGCATCCACTATGTCTTGTATTGGACGATTGCTGATGTATCTAGGTGGATTGGCAATAGGTTAATTGAAATAGCTAAGTTAGATGGATTTGTCTGTCCCCACCTGATTATCCTTATGTCTACATATGCAGCATTTGCCCCTTGCTGTGAAAAGAAGCTACGGCTCTTTCTTAGTAGGCATTCAGATCCATGATAAGAACATACGTATATGATGGACAAGCTCGTGTGTCCCCTGTACCCAGACATTGGATGTAGGTTTCATGTCAGATGGTTTGTATTGGAGAGAAGTCCTGACCCATCTCTCGTGTCTGGTCATTGGATATAATATTTGTCACACGGTTTGGATCATCAAGTATCCACAGTTGGGAACTGACACAGATACACTCCTAATTTAAAATGATTTTTGGGTATAGATAACACTGTCAAATCTGCATTAGTCCCCTCTCTATCTTTTCTTTATCTTAGTTTCTTCTGCAGAATACTGGATCTGCCCTTGCTCGTGTTCTTTTACCTTGATTCAAAGATAGGGATAATGCTGCTTGGTAGGAGACGGCTTGATAAGGTTACATCCAAATATTTGCATCTTTACTCGCACAGGACTTGATCATCCATGGTTACTGCAAGTCAAGCTGTGCAGTGGGAATTCGAATTTGACTAGATGCATTTATTTTGCAGCTGTCCGTTTTGGCTAATCCAATGGCAGTTCTTAATGGCCTTGATATGCAGTGGCGTGAAGAAGTTGCTACGGTGTTGCAGGTTTAAGATGATATTGGGTATTGTTGAGGCATCATTTTTGTTGCTGCCCTGGAGCCTGATTGAACTAGCTGGGATACATCCTTGGAGTAAACCCACACAATCTGGAGAATCAACATTGCACTGATGCGTTTAAGGGTCAGTGGAGGTACTGTTGGGTTTCACTGGCTCGAAATTGGAGTCTGAAAACAACATTTCTCCCAAGTCCTCTTGGGAAAGTACTGCCACTTTTTATATTTTTCGTGAAAGTTAATTTTTCTTTTAAACAACGTTTGTGTAGAAAGTAGAAACATCTTAGATCATATAAACAATAATCAAGCATGGGGACCCTGCTGGATTGCACATGGCCCTGACTCCACCTGCTCCATTACCATACGCGGGAAGCTTCCAGCCATGTTAGAACCATGTACCAGAAAAATAAATTCTGTCGTGGTCCACTGGCGAAGGACTATTTATTTACGAGCACATGGTGAACTCCTTAATCCTCATCGAACCCTGGTCAAGAAAGGCAGGCAAGCCCGTGGAAGGCGTGTCAGGCATGCAGACACTCGAGTCTTGCAATACTGCGAAAGACAATCGCTTGTAAACATCCTCTAAAAAGCACAGGGCAGGAAAAATTCATCAGTCATGTTCCATTTGGTATACAACTGATCAATGTTAATACTCAAATCTACAGTCAATATGTTGTTGTTAGCATATATTGGTGAAACATGCGTGACAAGGAAAAGGGATCAAATGTGTCACATTGTTTGACGTATTTCTGAGCAGGTAGCTTTCTTTAGCCACTCACGCACGTTTCTTTCTCATTATTACTGAATGCCTTTACTAGCAATGAAACAGGCATAGTGGAATACCAGCAATGCAATCCCATAGTTACAACTACTCGGCAATCCATTGACTCGGACTATTTTTAGCTTTCGGGGATAAGGGAACAATTTTAAGTTTTATGATTTGAGAGCAGTAACGACGACTCACGAACAGTCGAGCACTAAGAAGATCAAATCATAGCCCCATCACTGTCATTGCATTGCTTTCATTACCCCCACAGAAGTTGGAAAATTTTCTTCAACCCACCCTCGGCCCCTAGTGTTTGCCACTGCTGGAAGCAGGTGACGATTTGATGGCAAGTGATACTCCTCATCAATAGAAAACAATCTTCCTGTCAGAAGACAAATTTGTTTTTGTTTCATTGGTCGGAGAACACTAGTTGGAATTTGGACAGATAATTTGTAATTTGTACCAAAGTTAAGGCATTTACGAAGACGTTTTTATTATTTATATTGGAATTCAAGATGATAGTGTAAACAATAAACCCATTCATTATGACCATTAACCTATCAAAAGGTAGAGATTAGAAAAAAAATCTAAACGAAGCCAAATTTTATTAGACCTACAGTTATGGAAATAATTAGTCACCCTAATGGAATCTGTTACATAACCAAACAAACCGTTTGTTTACATGGATTGAGTCAATTGAAAGAGAGAAAGAGACTAAGTTCTTCCAGAGGCACCCCATCATGGGCTTGGAAAAGAAAATTTCAAATGGGGAAACCTCTGCCAGTACTGTTTTCATTAGTAGTTAGAACCTTGTCTTGATAGTTAGCTACGTTACTGTGCAGCCAATACTTCGCAGTCTACATTTGTAATGGAGTTAGTTTATGGTAGAAATGAGTTCGGCCTTTATTAGATTGTCGAATTTAGCTCAATCGTAAAATTACAAGCTTCAGCACTACCCGCGACCTCGAAATTAATCTTTCTTTTGATATATGTACGTATATAACAGAAAAATTCTGTTATCCAATGAACCACGGACAGGAGCTCACCCTACCAACAAACGGTGACAGAGCTCAAATGAGAGCAACGGACTTAGAAAGAAATTTCAACATCCGACAACACCTAATCCACATATAGACAAAAATGGTATGAAGATGTTAAGCATTGAAGTAATCAAATGCTCAACTTCATCTTTTATGATTTGCTTATCCATCCACATCATTATCAAACCTAATCCACATCCGACAACACCTAATTGAACCGATTATGTTAAATTATATTCTAATTTTTCACACAGCTTCATGAAGTTGTATTGGAAAAGGGGCAAAAAAAAGCACATTAATGTATATGTGGTGTCTGATGTAGGAGGGAAGTAGAAAAATGTTCGGCGTTTCAAATGACAAATATATAGATTTTTATTTTTATTTATTTATTAAAGCTTCGCATGATCACCCTCCTTTTCGCCTATCGATTATTACCTACCTGGTTAATCGAACTTGGCAACAAGCAAAAAGGGGCTTCCCAAAAAATGCCATCAACTCGTTGGGGGTTGGATCATTGCACAAAGGCCCCACGTACATGGTGCTACCTGCTACCAGATAAAATAATAATAAATAAATGAAGCAACAGAAGGAGGGATATTATAAGATTTATTTGAAGATATTTTTTGCTGTGCTTATTTTCCTCGCACCAATTTGCTACGTGAGACTAAGTTTACGTCAATAATTGGCTGAAAATACATCCTTTTTTATAACAAAGTTTATAAAATTTAATCACCTCGTAAACACTTTACGTTCGGATGCCCTAACAATGCTTTGTGGGTTTACTCAGCTAGTTTCTGCTTTGCCCAGCCAATTCCAACCCATCTCCTGGGATTCACTTGTAAATAACATTAGTTTTTGTGATAATATATAGTATGCACACATACAAAAAGATTCAGAGCCTGTCAAATTGTTATTTTTAATTCCTGTTTGACATATTTAATCGCACGAATTATCTTGCATGTCAAAGATAAGTTTGTAGGCCAATGTTGCAACATATACTATTACACCTAAATTCAGGTCAGTTCAATTAAAAAGATGCAGATAATGTCTGGACACCTGGATTGTGTACTGGATCTAACTAAGATGGTTGCGGCATTTCATTGACACGGCATAGGCTAAAAATCAAAAATGTTCCCCGACCTTTTGTGTTCAGTCCAATCAAAATTAAATTTGATTAAACCAGTCCCATTATTTTTAAAAAATAGAGACTACGTTTGATACGAGGGATAATAGAATGAGGATCTATCATTATAATTATTTGTCGCCTCATCCCCCTTTTTTCTTTTTCTTTTTTTGCACAAAATTCGGAGAGGGAGGAAATTTATGAACGATATCACTTAATTCAAAATTTAGGATAAATGATTTTCATCAAGGATGCATGGCATACAAAGAATTTGTTAAAGTGAAACTTTTTATGCTTTCCTTCTCGTTTTTTAATTTATTGTTTAATTTTTCTTTTTTATCTATTTGGTACCCATTAATTTATATTTTATATTTTCATTACAAAATTTAATTCTAATACGTGATTTAATTTTCAATGTGATTGACCGTACTTATTTCTCTTTTTTAAACTCTCATAAAAAAGTTTTCAACACTTTACTCTTTAATAAATTTTTACATTCTTGACATTTCATCTTTAAATTTTATATTTTTAATTTTTTTCTGTGAATTTAATCTCATATCAAATGCAATCTAAAGATCTCTTGTTTAACTTGTCTGGTAAGTAAGTTTTTGGATAAATTCCATGTGTATTTATACGATCACATGGAGGATCTTAACGTGTCTTTAATTAAAAATTGAAAGAGTTAGTTTGATTCAATTATAAATACAAATATTTGATTTGACCAAATGCAAAATGCAGAAGGACCATGCATCAAATTTAGCCACTCGACGTAATGAAAATGATGAATATTATGAGTCAGAGACACACCATAACTAAACTCCACCATAAATCTGCAGTATAAAATATGAATAATTTCTGCATACAATGCTTATCCAATTGGCTCATTCTTGTACATATTCTTCCACAAATAGAGGATAGTCCTATCTATTTGTCGTGTCGTGTCGTGTCGTGTCGTGTCTCGCAATATCTTATGGGTTTGATCGATACGCGTATGCACGCTTCTCTTATTAAGTTCAAACACGACAAAGATTTATTTCCTTTCATGGCATTTTATATAATTTTCACGTGAAGGTGGTATGTGAGGCCCATGGAATTTAATGTTTCATTACATTACATTCAACGGGGGGAAGATTTTTCTTACCTTTTTATGTTGAGAAGCCGTAGCATGTCAAATCTAAGCTTGAGGCGGGCGAGTTTTTTTTTTTTTGCTATGGACAACGCGTCTTCCAGGTCTCTCTCTCTCTCTCTCTCTCTCTCTCTCGTTTTTCCAAAAGGATCGGCCCATGTGGGCAACGACCCAGCTTACTTCCTTTTTTTTTTTTTTTTTTTAGTTTTTCTTCTCTTTTATTATTATTATTTTTTTTTTGTTCAATATCAATTTTTAAATGATTAATATTTTTTTTTGTATTTTTCATACAATCTCACAAAAAAATTAATTGGAATTTGAATTTTTTGTTTATTTTTTTAGAAATCGGTATAAAAAACAATCATTATTGTAAAAAAATAATTAATTACTTTTATATATATAATAAATAGAGGTTTAATAATTGATAATAATCAATTTAAAATGCATAATTTTAAAAAAAATTAATGACAATACCTCTGAAACAAATATAGTGATAATTTTTTATTTAAAAAATATATCAATATGGATTATAGTTTAACATTCAAAAGAAGAAAGAGTCTAAATAAAAAAGATTTGATAGTTAAAAATTTATTTTTCAGTTTGTATTGATTTTTATTGATTAGGTCTCACTTTAAAATTTATCATGATTTTTTAATGTGTATTAAAAAAATAAATTATTGTTTTGAATTACGTTATTCCAAAAAAATCAAGTAGAGAATAATAAATTGTTTTAATTTATAGTTATAGATACATTGATTAAAAGTAAACATTCTTTGATTGTCAATTATGTACTTTTTTTCTATCATTGACTATTCCGATTAAATTCTTTGGTTAAATAAATAATTATTTTTTTTAATGATCAAAATCAAGTGTATCTATAAAATGTACTTAAACTCAAATATAAAATACACACATGCTATTAAATACATAATAAATTTTAAAATTTCTACATTTAATATTTATATATTTTATTTTTGAATTTTTAAATATTCATAATTAATTAAAATATCGAAATAGATTTTATAAACGTATTTGCAATAGCACACACGTATATAATAGTAGTTAGACTTGTATGGTTGTAGCCCTAAGTGCCTTCACATCTCGTTTTAGATACTCCATGATAGTAAGAAAGTAGTATATGATTTTTGAGTTGAAATATCTCTACGAGAGGTCCAAACACAAAATTAATGGCATCTAATCTAGTAATAGAAGACTTGGAACTTGCCATTCCGCATCGCCTATAACTTGCATGCTTTTTTTATCTAGAGTTCAAACGAAAAGGTTTTAATTTTTCACTCCTGCAAAATTTCCTAGGTTTTGGGTCCCTTGCCCATAGTTTGAAGGGAAAGGCATCTTTTTAGTATGTAATCTAACCGTCTTGCAACTTATAAAAACATGTTATGTTATCTCTCCTTCGCAACTAGGTGGAGATATTTGCCACCTCGACGACCGAACAACAAGCCTCAAGTTTCTCCCTTGGTAATGCTTTGCGTAACATAGCGAAACCATTGTCATTGGTATGGATTTTTTTAAGTTTCAATAACTTGGAATTCAAAACATCTCAAATCCAATGGTATCAAATATAAGTGTGCTTCGATTTAGCATGAAATGTAGAATTTTTACCAAGGTGGATGGCACTCTAACTATCACAAAATAACATATAACCTATCTTACTTGAAACCGAGTTCTTAAACATATTTATTCATCCATAAAAACTATTTACAAGCTTTCGTTGCTGCAATGAATTTCACATCGGCAGTGAAAAAGCAACACACTTTTAGAGTTTAGATTGCCAAGCCACGACTCTTGCAAGAGTAATCAAATATCTAAATGTAGACTCGAGAGAGTCAATGTCTCCTGTTTTGTCCGAATCCGTATAACCAATCAAGTCCGAATTCCTAGCACCATAAGATAACTTCAAATTGTTTCGTGCCTCCGAGATATTACATTGTCCACTTTGCTACTCTCTAACGCCTCTTTCTTAGATTTGACAAAAACATGTTAACTACCTTAACAACATGAGCAATTTCGGGCCTTATACACATTATGGCATACATCAAACTCTCGACAACCGAAGCATATGGAACTTTTTGCATCTCTTTTTTCTCCTCGTTTATAGAAAGACTTTATTGGATGTTTAGCTTAAAGTGGGTCGTAAGAGGAGGGCTAACCACTTTAACTTTGTCCATCTTGAATCTCCGAAGTACCTTCTCAATGTACTTCTCTTGATATAAGTGCAATCTTTTAGTTGCTCTATCACGTTCAATAGGTATGCCTAAAATTTGATTTGTTATCCTTAAGTCCTTCATGTTAAAAAACCTATTCAAATGCTTCTTCAAGTCGGTTATTCTTGAAGCATTCTTGGCAATAATTACGATATCATCTACATAGAGTAACAATATAATAAAATCGTCATTAAATTTTTTTTACACATAGACGTAATGATCCGATGAGGTTAACGTATAGCCTTGCCCCTCCATAATCGAGTCAAATTTCTTATATCACTATCCGGGAGTTTGTTTCAAACTATAAAAACTTTTCTTTAATTCACACATCGGGTTTTCCTTACCTTTCACTCGAAACTCCTTTAACTGCTCTATGTAGATCTCTTCTTCTAATTCATTTTGTAAAAAGGCTATCTTGATATCCATCCGCTCAACTTTCAAGTCAAGACTTACTTGTTAAGTCGAGAATAACTCAAATAGATGACATTTTCACCACTGGAGAAAATATCTTTAATACCTTGTTCTTGACTAAAACCCTTCACTCCTAATCTTGTTTTGAATCGAGAATGTATGGTGTGCTCTTCGTGCTTGATTCTAAATGCCTACTTGTTTTTCAAAACTCATCTACCCTTGGATGATCTTACTAATTCAAAGGTATTATTCTTATGTAAAGACTTTTTCGATCATTCATGGCTTCAATCCACTTCTCTTTGTTCTCATCTTCCGTTGCTTTTTTATAGGATTCGGGTTCTTTATTATTAGTCAATAACACATACTCATTAGTATAGTGCCTTGTAGAAAGCTTTCGATCTCTCGTTAGATCATTGTCATAGGGCGACATTAGGGTGAAGACGATGACTTTTGAGAAATAGAAAAGTGGTAAAAATAAAAGAACTCGCTACCCAGTATTATGGTTAGTAGAAAACCATATGACTAACTTATTCGAATTCTAAATAAGAGGTTTATTATGGATAGGAAAGATTAAAAATTTCCTACCCCGTCCTACCTAAGCGCAACTCGCATTGCACATAAAGTCGACTTTCCAACAAGAACGAAAAAAGCTAGATGAACTTACTAGCTTCCTTTCTTCATTTGGATGATGTTGTAATTCCTATTATTGATTTCGAGTGATTCGAGACTCGACCGGTCGTGGACCTCACCCTTGCTCTATGATGAATAGATAGGAAAAAAATGAAATGAATATGATGATTGCACAATAATATGTAGCTAATACGACCTATATGGCATGCATGAAAACAAAGCTTAAAAATAAGCAAATAGACATAAGAGATAAAATAGGAACGACAAAAATGATTAAAAAAAATGACAAAAACGAAGAAAACAATAAAAATGGAAAAAATCATTGAAGTTGGCAAAAACGATGACAAAAGAGATCAAAATGGTCAAAATGTTAAAATTGAAAAAAATCATTGGAATTGACATAAACAATGGCAAAAATGACAAAAGAGTTCAAAATGACAAAAATAATTAAAGTTGGTAAAAACAATCCAAAAACGAGGTTCGGACCACATGACTTTAAATGTGATGATTTTTCGGACAAAAATTCACAAAATAATTGAAATTGGCAAACAGATCTAAAAGTGAAATTTAGACCGACACGACCTCAAATGTCATGATTTTTCAAGCGTATGACGAATAAATTTAACAAATAAAATTTACATGGTAGACAATGTTACCATGAATGGTCCATACCAAAATGTAAACCGACATGACTTAAAAGTCATGATTTTTCGAGATGATATTTAGATAAAATAGATAAAAATTATCCAAATAAAAGTTCAAACCGACACAACTCAAATATCACATTTTTTAGGACAGAGTTGACACAATGCCGATTAATTATCACAATCGATAAAAAAAAGATCCATAAACGGGGTTCGAACTAGCACAACTTAAAATTACATTTTTTTTGATAAAATTGGCACAATACCAAAATTAATCATTACAATCGATAAAAAATGGTCCAAAAAATGAAATTAGAATCGACACGACTCAAAATCACTTTTTTTTAGATAAAATCAACACATGAGCTACTTAATGTTACCATTAGCAAAAACGATCCAAATACGAAGTTCGACCAACATGATGTAATTACATAGTAATAATAAATATTTATAAATTAATCGAGTCTCTTATTTTGCCTTGATATTTCTCGGGGTCTCGTCTCTTTTCGCGAGCACAATACACTACGTTATATCTTAAGCATATCGGTTTAACAATCACACAATCATAGCGATAGTTTAATTATTTTATAACATCGACATAAATTAAATTTAATATAGATTAAACTCAAAGAGTTAAAAATAAATTACTTGCTAAAAAAAATGAAAAGATGGAATGAATTTGTTCATCAAATTAGGTTTTGTTATAACCTTTTCAACCTTGATGAAAACCGATTATTCAGCTAACAAAGAAGAAGGGACGACTGTTTATTGTTAGATTTAGATCTAGTGTGAGGCGAGATGGTTATTAGTAATCGGATTACGGTTGAATGGTTGGTAGTGGTCATTGGTGATCGAATGGTAACTCGTTATATCAAAATGATAATTGTTGGAATGGATGGTTGAGGTCGCTGAAAATGGTGGCACTCGTTAGATTAGACGACCAACTATTGACAATGATTGTCGTGGTCATTACTAATGGTGGTGCTACTAGATTGAACGGAGGAGATTTGGATCGAGATAGACCAAGATTATTATGACTACTTGAGGGTGGATCGAACTGCTAGAGAGGTTAGATTAGGTTTGTTATGGTTGACGGTGGTATAGTTGCTGAAAAGGAGATCGGACGATTAGAAAGGCTAGATCGAGTAGAGAAAAGGCTAGATAGGTTGCTAGTTCGGTTTGGATTGGATGAAGAGGTCTGGATTGGGTTTGTTGTGGTCGACGATAGTGGGTCGTTGAAAGGGAAATCGGATTGCTTGGAGAGGTTGGATTGGTTGGACCGGATAGAGGAGAGGCTAGATCAATTATCGGTTCGATTTGGATTAATTAGAGTGCTCTTAGTTTGGTTTGGATATCTTGAAGGGTCGTCTGGTCGATTTGGATCGGCTCGAGGAGAAGGCTAGTCAATGGAGACTCGATTAGAAGAGAGGCTGATCGGTAGAGGATTTGATTGAGGGTTGGTGTGACTAACCAAAGTTTTTAAGAGAGAGGGAAAGCTGATCGAAGTTTTAGAGGGAAAGGTAGAATCGGCCAAAAAATTTTGAGAGAGAAAGTTTGGTTTAAGAGGAAAGAAAGTGGGGTATTTATATTATTTTTTTTGTGGTTTTGGCCAAAGTTTAGTTTGGTCCCTCGTCTTGTAGGATTGTTTCATTTTGGAATTTTTTTAATTGTATCCCTCGATTGTATTTTTAGTCTTTTTTTTATAATTTTTATATATTTTTAGAGGAAAATGTAGGTGTTAACAATGTTCGAGTGGAGTTTCGATGAAACATATTCATCATCATATTCAACTATCTAATCTTGTTCATCACTTGATTTATCATCATGAATTCGATTGTTGTCTTACGAGTCATTATCATTCTACAATCCTTGCTCGACTCTGCAAATCATCTTGCACATCATGTCCAATTGGCTTAAATATTAGTGCCGAATGAACTAGCTCAATCGGCTCTATATCCGCAGGATCATCATAAGACCTAGTCATTATCTCGCTCTCGCTCGCTCAATATCTTGTATGGTTTAATCCTAAAAAAATACAGCATCATAACTTTTGACTATCTTCTTTTCAATAAGATCATACGAACTTGTAGCCAAACTCATCTTGATCATACCCTTAAGAAGACATTGTCTTGTTTTCATATTGAGCTTAGATCTTTCATCTTTAGGAATGTGCGTTGCACCTAAAAAAATTTAAGTAATCATAGGATGTATCTTTGCCATTCTAAACCCCGTCTAGAACATCAAATGATAAAGGCACACAAGGTAAAAGATTTATTAAATAAATAACGAGTATTTAATGTCTCACCTCAAAATGACTTAGGCGATCGCATATGAGAAAATAAGCATTTGACTCTCTTAGCTAAAGTCTAATTCATCCTTTTAGCTAACCCATGTAACCAAGGTGTCTTTAGTACGATCTAACTCATTAAAAGGGCTTGGATATTCATTACCATTGTTTGTTCAAATATACTTAAGCTTTCTCCTTGTTTATCTTTTTACTAAAGCTTGAAACTGCTTGAGAATACCAAGAACTTGATCTTTCGATCTCAATGTATAAAACCATACCTTTCTTGAGTAATCACCTATGAATGTCACGAAGTAATAGGAACCATCTTTTGACATTGTCTAAGTAGAACCACACACATCTAAATGTACTAACTCAATAGGATTCTATTTTCTCGTAGATAGACCTGGTCCTAAAGGAAACTTTGTTCGTTTTTCAACAAAGCGAGTGTTGACACTTTTTTAAGTGATTATTCTACATCTCAAACAATAATTTTTTTTCAACATTGTCATACTTTTCTCAATCATATGAGCCAATCTTTTTATGTCATATTTCATTAACTTCCTTGTCTTTGATAACATTCACATCATCATTTAATGATTTAACATGCATGACATACAAAGAGGAATACTTCTATCCTTTTGCCACTACTATATAATCCTTAAACGAGCTCCCATATATCATTTTTGAATAAGTTGCAAAATCGTTCATCATCAAGTCTTCCAACCGAGATTAAATTCAAACAAAAGTCATGAACATGCTTCGAACCGACTTCTACTCCAATATGAGTCTCTAAGTACATATCTCCAATACTAGGTAACTTTAGATAACCCATTTTTCCTAACCCTCGTTGCCTAACAATCATCAAGTATGTATGAGCTCAAAAACTTATTATGAGATGTAGTATGTACCGAAGTTTCATTGTTAACTATCCAACTATGCTCATTTGATGTTATGTTAATTTCATCGGTATCATATGCGAGTTAAGAACTCATTGGTTGCATTAACTTGATATTCATTAGCATCATTGTCATTCCGCTTGATTTTATTCTTATTTTATCTTTCTTTAATTTCGATAATATTTCTTGATGTGCCCCATATCACTACGGTGAAAATGTGATAATAGTTCACATTTGTAAACTTGCCCTCGGACTTGTTTATATTCTTGCCTCTGTCTTTTGGACCCTTGCTTTTACTCTTTCCTCTTTCTACGATAACCAAGCACATTAGATCGAAATGAAGAATTTTGAGTCTTCCTTATAACCTATTCATTGAGAACCTCATTTTTAGCATAGGTTAAGGTTATCTTCCTATCGAAGTAGAATTGCAATGTGACGTACGGAATATCTCCCAAGAATCGGATAATGAGCCAAACAAATACAACCCGAGGACCTCATCATCAATTTCTATTTTCATGGTTTTCATTTGTTGAGCAATTCCCACAAACTCATTAATGTGATTTGCTATAAGATTTTTCTCTTTATACATGTAATTCATCCATTGCTTAATTAAGTACATCTTGTTATTTCCAGTTTCTTTGATAAAGAGATATTTCAAACTTTTTTCACAAAGTTTGAGCATTCAACTCTTTTGTAATATGATTAAAAAAATTATTATCAATGTACCGATGAATAAAAGCACAAACTTGTTCATTTTTAAATTTGGAATCCTCATTAATTTTTGTTGCGAGCTTAGTTGAAACAAATATACGTAGATATCGACTCTTTACATATAATAGTTTTTTCATTTTCTCTTTCACATATGATAATTGGCTCCATTCATGCTTATTGTTTTAATGGTACTCTCCATGTTGTTCAAATAAAAAATACGAAACCAAGCTTTCATACCACTTTGTTGGGCAAAGAAACATAAATTATGTAATGAAATCTCTTTATCCTTGCTTGAACAATCAAATAAAGGCTATAAACAAGTGCCCGAGATAAAATAAGTAGCTAATAATCTAAAAAAAGAATACCAATCCACAAAGAACACATGAATTTGACATAAAAAACCTCCTTAATTCGAGAAGAAAAATCACGAGATCGGAGTCCACAAAAACTTCTATTGTCAACAATAATGGATAATACAAGGAGTTTTCTCTATATTAAATTAGAAGAATACATTAGCCATAAGCATCAAATGGTATACACTCTTGGCAAACCTTATCAACATATGAGACACAAATAAAAGAGAATAAACCATATTCGGATTTCACTAGAAAATAGTACTATTATGAGCATCATATCTCACTCTCCAAGTCTCAAAGCTAGATCTTCACCATTCAAAATACGCTTCGCCACTCTCGAACATGCTCACCAAACTTGAGCTCGATCCAACAGCTTAACGAACTCAAAAAGTCAATTTTACCATGACTATTATGTGTTGAAACTTTCTTTCTTTTTTTTTTTTTTTAAGTTGTAGCTCTCTCATTTTTTCTTTCTCTCTCTCTATTCTTCTCTAAACTAATCTCATAATTAAAGAGAAGAAAGAGTTTTTGGAAAATCCCTAAATTATTTTTCAAGTGAATAGAAAAATTCTATTCCATATGGGTTTTAAAATTGGATTCGTGAAGGTAAATTGTAGGGTCATTTTCCAACTACGTAAGGGAGGGAGACCCAACAATAGGAATATGTTATGATATCTGATTTTGTTTCTTTCCTTATTATTATTATTATTATCTTAATATCATTATGTATATATCCTTCTTTTATGTTCGTCAATCGATGTTATAGACCGGATAAAAAAAACTCGGACAAAAATAGTAGTGAAAAAACTTAATTAAGATAAAATTTGAAGAAGTAAACCCATACGCCATTAACCCCGCGCTGATTGGGGTGGATGGCTAAAAAGTAAGGCATTCAGTCTTTCTATTATTTTGTTTATATATAAACTCTGTCCTCCACCGGGTCAGCAGCCAAAAAGCCAAAGCCAATCCCAGTCTAAAGCGCGCCCACATCCATATATATAACATATGAAACCCCCACCTATCGTCTCTTCTATCTCCTCCCATCTGTCTCTCCCACACAGATTTTGTGATCTCACTTCTCCCTCCCTTGTTATCAAGAAAAAGTGAAAAAACCGAGCCTCCTTTTTCTCGCGTTATATAGTCGCATTCTTATCTCTCTCTCTCCCTCGTTTTGCATTTCTAATTTTCTACTAAAAAAATATTTTAAGAAACGGTGGATTTAGATTTTTAGGGTTTGGAAATTAGGGGCCATGGGGTTGCAAGGACAGATAATACCGTATAAAAACGGAGAGAAAGAAGAAGATGATGATGAAAGAGAAGGAAAGGAGATATCACCGTTTCATCTTCAAAGCAAATTTGCTGTTGTTGGTTATGCTCTTACCTCCAAGAAAATTAAGAGCTTTTTGAAGCCCAAGCTCGAAGGATTAGCTAGGTAACCAAATCAATATTTACTCACTTAACTTTCTACGTACTTGTTTTTATTTAAAAAATCGCTAATAACATAACTGAAATGATATTTATTTTTCTTATGTTGTTGTTGCTTGCTTGGTTTATTGATTGATGAATTTGTAGTCAGTCATGACTGTATTTAATTGCAAAGGTGTTTTTCACGTTAGTTAAAATTTGATTTTTTTTTTGTCGGATTCTTTTTGGTGTTTGGTATCTGTAATATTCTGATATATGCAAATGTCCTTTTCGTTTTAGTTTTAAAGAAAGTGAAGTTAATGCTATTTAATTAAGTAAGTAATTATTTAAAATCCTTATTGAATCGTCACAGCCACCCACTTTTAAGTCTTAAAGTCAAAAGGATTTTATTTTTCCCAATATTTCTTTCTGGGCCTGGTTGAAAAAAATGAAGGTAATCAAGGTCGTCTGGTGTCAACAAGTTTTGATTTTTTTGATGATATAGTAGCGATCGTTACATTTTATTGTTCCTTGAATGATGGTGCAGGAATAAGGGTATCTTGTTTGTTGCAATTGATCACAACAGGCCACTTTCAGATCAAGGTCCTTTTGACATTGTGTTGCACAAGGTTGGTCTTTTTTGTTAAATTCTACTGCCCAACAGAATGCTATTTTGGGTTTCTAGAGAGCTTAGCTTTACTTATAGTGTTACGGTGGTTGATAATACAAAAGAAAACTACAAAGTGACAGTTTGCTTAGTGTTTCTTGCTTAATTATATTAATGTCTCCATTTTGGTAACTACTGATTTTTAACTGATATGCTTCAATTATCATTTTTTTTTCCTAATGTGTAATGCAGCTAACTGGAAAGGAGTGGCGACAGATTCTTGAGGTTGGTCCTTTCTTGACATCATCAACTCTATTTTTGCGTGAATAACTTCTGAATAGTCTAGAAAGGATGAAATCATACTTGATTGATGACTTAAATCTTAGATGCCATGTGATATATTCTTCATCGCGGACAATCAAATATCACTGGTTTAAAAATGCTTAAATTCTCATTTATGTCTGACGTAACTTGCAGAGTGCTTGCACTTTCCTCCATCATGAATCATGATTTGATAGTTGAGGTCGAGGCCAGCAAGAGAGGATTTTCTACTTCCATGGCCATCTAACTGATTCTTTCAGGTTTTCTTAAGCATCATTTCCAAAACATTTTTTTTTCTGTCTAACCCCCTTTTATGAGCTGAAAGTGAGATGGCTATTCTTTTTAACCTGGTTTTTTTAGCTTACATGAAAGGAAGGAAACTCGCTCAAAATCAGTTAATCCAAAAAAAATTTGTATCTGTTTCTCAGTCTTTGTTACTCTCATCCCTGGTTTGCAAGGATGCAACTATTCTTCCTTCCTTATTCGGTGATGGAGTCCCTGGCAAAGAGTGATAGGAAATTAACCGCTAGTTTCTGACCTCAGCTAGGTTGAAGTTCTTATGTTCTAAAATCAAGGATTTCTTGGGCTTGGAAAGCTGCATGTGGTTATCACTTATGAAATGATTTTTACACGAATGCTAAACTAACATTTCGACAAATTACCCATTAAACAGTAATCTTTCAGGGTCACTAGCTATTCTAGTTTCTAATCATGCATGTCATGTCCATGAAATGGCATGCTTGAAATCTGTCGCATCTTAGAATACCTACTTTGTGTGAAAATTGTTGTCCCCTTTATCCTGTTAGGATTTTTACTCTCTTTAGGCTACACAGGTTTGTAATCTGTTATGCCTTTCAGAATATGCTGGAGTGGAGAGAGTAATGAATGTGACAAAATGACAAACGGAAGTTCCAAATCGTTTACCAGCATTCTTCTGCATTCAATAGTCGATGACTTTGCTTCCTTCTTCATCTTCTCTCTTGCCTAATTAGTTACTTTGTACTCTGCAATTGTTTGAGCAGTTGTTCTACGTCAGCCAAGGTTTGTTTGATAGTTTATTAGATGTTCGTAAGTTGTTATCATCTATGATTCTGGCATTGGTTGTAATTGCAATTTGATGGCTTCTATTGTGTTACCTTCTCTACGTTTCACATTGAAGAAAATAGTGGATATCCAAAATTGAATTATAGAATTCATTGGCAAAGTTACAGTTGTTAGAACTGGAAGATTCAAATATTCTTTACCGAGCGACATTCATTAACTTGTAGCTTTTCATTTTGTAAGGCATTACTTGCTGGCTTGGTCAAGAGTTTTGAAAATTGAAGCTGTGTATTTTAAATGTTTTGGGTTCTATGTGAGAATTGGACTTGATAATGTTAGAAAAATCGGCTCAACTGTCTTTGTGGTCTGTATCTTGTTGTTTTAATTGAATTATGGTTTTTTCATCTCTTCATGCTTCTACAATGAAAGTTATGGCTGCACCTGTGATCGTTACATCCAATTTATTTCCTGCAATTCCAGGACTACAGACGGACACATCCAGAAGTCACTGTCCTTGATCCTCCTGATGCTATACAACATTTACATAATCGACAGTCCATGCTCCAGTGTGTTGCTGATATGAATTTGTCCAATTTCTATGGTAATTTTTTATACTATTTCATGGATATTGGGATGGAAAGCAATATTTTTAGCTTCGCATTCAAATGGCAACCTTTTTGGTTCTTGATGTGAGGTTGACAGATGACTAGTATAGTGCCCAAAGCTGATCGAAAGCAATCATTTACTCTTTATGGTGCAGGGAAAGTAGGTGTTCCTAAACAATTAGTTATTAAAAAGGATGCTTCATCTATCCCTGGTGCAGTCACAAAAGCTGGGCTGATGCTACCCATTGGTATGTGCTTTCGTCTGCATTCAATCTCATAGTGTACTTGAGTCAGTATCTTGGCTGCATGCAATGCATCAATTTAGCTGGAAACTTATTCAGAATAGAATACAAGTTCTTGATGTTTTGGATTGCCAGTTATATAGTATTGATTTCTTTTCTGGAAATTATCATGAGATGGTTGGTTTATTTTCTTCTGTTTTTAAGTTATTCATCTTGAGTTTGTATACTTCCACCTTTTTCAGTTGCAAAGCCACTGGTTGCAGACGGAAGTGCAAAGTCACATGAGCTATCACTTGCCTATGATCAACAATCACTTCAGAAACTTGAACCTCCGCTTGTTCTTCAGGAGTTTGTCAATCATGGTATATATTTGTACTTTACTTAGGTATTTATATTAGTTTCAAGATCATCTCAGGCACCAGCTTACCATGCAAATGCTATTCCTTTCATTGTTTCAGGGGGGTTATGTTTAAAGTTTATATTGTGGGGGAGGCCATTAAGGTGGTGAGGCGGTTCTCATTACCTGATGTCTGTAAACGTGAGCTTTCGAACATTGCTGGTGTGTTCCGTTTTCCACGAGTTTCTTGTGCTGCTGCTTCTGCCGATAATGCTGATTTGGACCCTGGTGTTGCTGGTGAGTTGTCATACTCGTGACTTCCTTTTGTTAACTTCTGCAAGGTTTTTCTTACAAGCTTTTGAGGCATGTACCACTAGTTATAAGTATAGACTTGTAATCTCTTGTTGATTCTGAGACCAAAAAAATCGTGTTATTGGGTGGTTTTGATGCAATGATCATTAAAGCTGTGACTTTTTCCTTGGCACATTCAGTTTCTTTGGTACCTCATGCAGTAGATAATTACCCAGGATAATTCCTGGGTCCTAAGGTAGTGGGAGAGTTGAATGCCATTGTTCCTCTTGTAGCTTTTTTTGTGCAAGAGATGGATTTGTTCTAGGCATCAATGGTGCCATTGAACTGTGTTCAGCACTTGAGAACCTGCAATAAGGCCTTGAGCATAACATTCTGGCATGTTCCTCTAATATATTCTTCTTCTCCTGCAGAGCTTCCTCCACGACCATTGCTTGAGAAACTTGCAAAGGAACTTCGTCGTCGACTGGTAAATTTCTTCTTATTTTCTCTCTGTTCATCAGTATAAAATACCATCTCCTGCATGTTTTTACATTGTTAAATACTTTCAGGGTCTTCGGTTGTTCAATCTTGATATTATCCGAGAGCATGGAACCAGAGATCGATTTTATGTCATTGACATTAACTACTTCCCAGGCAAGACCGCATTTTCTTTTTTATTTTGTGTTGTTTCCATCTAAATTTGTTTTCTAATCGTCCTTTGAGCCATATTTAAATTTTTCGAGTATCTTAAATGCACTTCTTTCTGCTTCGAGGCCTTCTTCTTCTTAGGGCTTTTATCTTTTGTCTTTTTTGTTTTTTGGGAAATAGATTGTATCTTGAAAATTTGCCCAAAAGGTTCCTTTTATTTGATATCTTAACATGCAAACATGGCAGGGTACGGGAAAATGCCAGAGTATGAGAATATATTTACAGACTTCCTTCTCAGCCTCGTGCAGAATCAATACAAAATAAAATCCACCTAGAAACTGATGGAGGCATGACTGACAGAAAAGAAGTTGTGTATCAAAAGTATCATGTGCTGGGGGCTTGCTCGGTACCGTGTACAGCATAATTAATGCCTGCTACCAGCTGGAGGAGGATACAAGCAATACCAACCTTCGACTTCTGTAATACTGACTGGCTGGCAGGATGTGTGTCTGCTACTCAAGAATCCATCGTTACAGCTCCCTCCAATTCAGTTGGCTTCGCTCAATTCCTTGTGTGATCTTTGCCATAATTTTGTGCTTTTCAAAGGTGCCATGAGCAGCTGATGAATAGCAACCTCACGATCTGTACAGTAATTTCTCTTGGGATAGCATCCCTCTGAGTCTCTGAAATGTCGAGCAGTTAATAGAATAATTCTAAACAAAGGCGCTGTAAACTCTCTCTGCCGTTGTAGAATGAGTGTTGCCTTCCTTCTGTCAAATAACTTTCCGCTGCATACACAAATTTATCTGGCTCTTAAAAGGCAGGGGATCCTTCAATAACAAAGTTTTAAGGTGAGGATTTGGTGTCGTCGCATGTGGTTGGAGTTCGTTTACTCCGCCATATCTGCCTGTGGTGTTTGCCAACCAACGAGCGATTTGGTATTGTGAATTTTCGATAGCGCAAAGCAAATATTGCTTACTAGCTGCTGCAAATGCTTAGCAGTTAGCACTTCAAAACGTGCTTTCATGCCTTAACAAGGCTAAAGAAAAAACTAAAGGCTAGCACAATCTTTTGGTGAATAAATAAATCTGATGATTCCCCACATTGATGACTATGCTCGTCTCTAATTCGTGTTTTAGATCAGTTCTCGTAATCACTCCAGCGATCGTCACAAAATCGTGGTTACAAGGAAGAGGTCCAAACCTTGAGACCTTGTATGTTAATTGGCAAACAGCACGAATTTACAAGGATGAGGTTCAAACCTTGAGGCCTTCGAGGGGAAGAGGGGAGTTATATGTTAATTGGGAAACAGCACCAATTTAATCAAATTGCTGCTTCAAAACATAATAGATTTGAATGCCACAAGAAACAATACCCAAGGAAACATTTCATTCTTCGGTTTTTAATGATCGAGAAACACAATTAACATTACATAAAGCCAAAACGCCCAACACAAAATCTCCAAACAAAACACAAGATAAAACCACAAACAAGCAACTACCCACTTGTAACTGGTTCCTGTAAAGCAGAAGTTGAAGGCAAAGCAGCCTCAGTAGCATCACCATCAGCAGCAGTACAAGAAGAAACAAGAGTCCAATCAGGAGGTAGAGGAGGTAAAGGAGCATAAACAGTGGGTTTGCGCCTTATGTCCCATGGCTGACTCTTTCTTGGCCTTGTTTTCCTGTGATGTGCAGTTGCCTTCTTCTGTGGCCGTGAAGAACACTCTATCGACAGCCCATCGTAACCAAAACCGGTGCCTATTGGTACTGTTTTAATCTCCCCATGGACAGGCTTGGAAGATGGTGCAGTTGAGGCTCCGGGTGCCCAGTTAACTGGAGAGCCGAATATAGAAGAGACTGACATTTTCTTTGTTTATTATTTTGCGTGTTTTAGTTCTCTTCTTCTTTCGCTACTGTTCACAAAAAAGTGAGTAATGGCAAAGGATGTCTGGTCGGCTCTTAAAGGGTAGCAGAGCTCTGGACCTTTCAATTCAGATTGGATGGTATATCCTTGGGTTAACGATCAGAAATGTCCTTGTGTTATTAGGAATTGCTTAATCAGGTCCCTGTGTCAATTTAAATATTAATTAAATTTTTGTATTTAATCGATTTGTTTAATGTTAGTTTTTTGTTTGTAATTTTGCTGATGGCATTAAATTAAATATATAATCTAGCAACTTATATTGTTTGACCCGTTGACCTTATTAGTTATACTATTATTTTTTGCTCTTGGAAACCATTTATTAAAATAAAAATAAATCATTTTTGTTTTCTGAAATTAAAAAAAAGTAATTAACGGTGCCAACAGGTCTAACAACACGTGTTTAATCAATTTGTTTAAAGTCAGTTTTTTGTTAGTAATTTTGCTGATGACATTAAATTAAATATATAATCTAGCAACTTATATTGTTTGATCTGTTGACCTTCTTAGTTATATTATTACTTTTGTTCTTAGAAACCAATTATTGAAATAAAAACAAATCATTTTTGGTTTTTTAGGAAAAAAGAAGAAGAAGAAAATCTAATTAAGAAAGTCGTTAGATTATTTATTTAACTTAATGCTCATTAGCAACACGCATCATTACATTATATATTTAAATTAATCCTTCTTAGCAAAATTACTAATGATATCATTAAAAAAATGAATTCAATACAAAAATATTATTAGAAAATGAATCGAGTAAGGAAATAAAAGAAAATGACAATAAACAATCACTTAATACAAAATTTATTTATTTTGATAATTATGATTGCAACACAAGTTGTTATTAAGTTTTTTAAATGACAACAATGAATACAAAAGATGATATAGCATAAATAACTAAATTTATTAAAAAACCTAATGAGTCTACATATTTGGTCCAATAAACCTGGCCCGATACACCACCGTGTTAATTCTACATAATGTACTAAACTACGAGACATATCTACATCAGTCTCAAAACTTAACAAATATAATTAACACTTAAGTTGACATGGATACCTGATTAAACAAATGCTACTAATACAGGGACGTTCTAAATTGTTAACCCATGTCTCCTCCCTCTTGTCGTTTTGTAACTTCTGAGCATATCATTTTTTTTTAATGGGCTAAGGTTTCTGATATTGGGCCTAACTTAAATCCCACAATCGGTTCTATCCAGGTTGTTTTATTTGCTGAGTAAATTATAAACCTAGTCTTTCCAGTTTTGAAAAATAAATTCAATATAGACTTTCTAGTTTTAAAAATTAATTAATTATTTTTTAATCAATGCTGATCATCCTTGTTTTAATATAAATTTATTCCAGAAAATATTTTTTTCATCAAAATTTTCATAATATCTACTTTTCTTTTTACCTTTTTCATTTCTTAAAAAAAGACATGAAATGAATAAAAGAAAGTAATTAGTTAGTTTTTAAAACTAGAAAAATATTTAATTAATTTTTCAAAACTATAGAAACTAATTTATAATTTACTTTATTTTTTTCTCCAGATACATTTTTTTCTTTTTTTTGGCCAATCTCAAACAATAAGAACATCCTTCTGGTTTTTTTCTTTTAGAAAAAACAAAAATAAAGACAAAGAAAGAAAGAATATTCTTCCTCAGATACATATAAGACATATTACGAACACAGTAGTAAGAATTTTTTAAATTTTAGAATAAGATAAGATAGTAGAGCATACGTACGTTAATTTTTTTATATTTTTTACAGGCTATGATTTTTTTTTTTTTTGCCCTTTTGATGAAAAATACTGCTTGGCTAAAATTGGTTCCATCGGTCATAAACCGTTCGCCCTGGCAAGGTCTGCCTCCAGATCTTAGTCATTTACTGCAGATTACTCTGGTATTATGTTCGGCAGGTTTTAAACCTCTTATCTTCTCCTTGTTTACCCCAAATAAGAATAAGAATAAGAATAATAACAATAATACCAACAACAACTAGCACTTAAAATACCTATAAAAGGAATAACAGTGCATAATCTAGCAAATGTAAACATATAGGAAATATAAAATTAAAATAATATAAATCACGTTATTTATTTTTTAAAAAAATATTGACAAATTTGAACTCCATTGTCCAATATAGATGGAAAGACTATAATAAGATTTTTGAAAACTTGGGACACGAGATTGATATAAAAATGAGAAAACTGGAATTTGAGTGCTTGATTTTATTTTATTTTAGTGCTCAACCAATGAATTATTTTATTTGAATGTCCAACTTTTGATTATTTTTTTTCACATTTGAATTACTTGAAACTGAAAGATATAAATGTCTCCAAATAAACTGCCACATAAAAAAAAGTAGATCTCATTTGGATTATTAAAAAAAAATTTCAATGCCTAATTTTTATTTATTTTTATGTTTGAGTGCCTAACATTCGATTTATTTTTTTTATTTGAATTTCCTTAGTTATCTGAAACTGAAAAACACTAACTTGACTGGAAACCATTGACAAAAAAAATCGTTTGTACGATTAAAACTTTTAGATTAGGCAAAAGAAATGTTTAGATAATGATATCTTATACATCTTTTAAGAGGTTGGTCAATAAACTTGTCAAGCTCCTGCAGTTAACATTAAATGGTTTTGGATTTTAACCACCAATGGATGGAGTCTAGCATTATAAACTGTTGTTTTGATTTGGCCAAGGTTAGAGTTCAATTTTCATTATTCACAGATTATTATCTATAATTATAATCAGACTTAGGTTGATTTGGTCTAAAACATAATCTAATAATCAAACAAAAATTAAATGTGTTATAACACTAACTTAACTCAAAAATTGATGAATTTAGTTTTAGTTGATGTGAAGACTGATCCAAGAATACTCTACCGTTTGTTAATAAAAAAATGATTTTGGTTTTTTTCTAATCATTGCATGCTATTTTTTTCTTGAAAGTTTTATAGTTTTTTTTTATATTTTCTCAATAAATCCAAGTAGGATCCAATTTTTGTCACATGTCAATTAAAGACTGTCATGTATCAGTAAATTCAGACTAGATAAGTGCTTTCCAATGTCGGGTGACTGATGGAGTTAAATAAAAAATAAATAAAACACTAAACACTCAAATAAAGAAATAATCAAATGCTAAGCATTCGATTTACAGTTTTCTCTAAAAAATATATATATTTTTTTTCACTTGAATGATCTAAGTAGGACCTTTTTTTACGTGTCAGTTAAAACTTATCACAAAACAGTTCATCTCATACACGTTAGTATTCTAGTGTCATGTGATTGTGAATACTCAAATATAAAAAAATTAATGTTTGGGCATTTAAATAAAAAAATTTATCAGTTGAACATTAAAAAAAAAAATTGAGTACTCAAATTACAACATTTTCTATACAAAATAATCACCATAAAATCGAGACTATCAATTACATTGGAAGATATTTTTTAGATTTTCCCATAAAAACAAACCCGCGTTTGCAGTTTTTCTTCACCGTAGTTCTTTATGGTTTGTAGATCAAGTTACAAGCGATTTGGGTTTTGAAAACCACCGTTCATCCCTCCTCCATTCACCATCCATTCCAGTTTACGTTTAATTTTCAAATTATGACAATTTTCAGAATGTGTCACTCATTCATTGATCAATAAATTGACTATTGAGTTTTGGATCCACCCTTTTTCTTTTTCTTTTTCTTTTTTTTTTGTTTAAAACCGTAAAATCATGAATTGAAAAAAAAATCTTTTTAAATAAGAAGTAGAAAAAAATTAGGATCATTAATTTTGTTAAAAAAATCTTATTATTTTTTTTTTAATTCAATAGAGAGACAAAGTTTTGGGAGTACTAGTTGAGTTTATAAAATTTAAAAATTACAATTTCGCATGCATCTTCTAGAAGAGGGTAATACAACCGATCAGAGCAAATAAATAATAAAAAAAACTCTCAGTGAAAGAGGATAAATATGAGAAACCAGTCCATCTATTATAAGATTAGCCTTTTTGTAAATATGTGAAATTTGAACCCGCCATCGATTTTGTAAGTGATTACAAATAGCATTAACTAGCTGGTCATAGTCGTCTCATTGAAAAGTCAGTAAGTAAATACTTAATTGAGAACAAGATTCAAGCAGCACTTGTGGATGATCAACTTTTTAAACCATCTACAATCCAACGAGAATGCTCCAAACTCAGCACCCAACGTATTTTTTTAAAATACTTTATATTTTGTTGCTGTGAGAGATATGTGACCTGAATTTTATTATTTTCCTTTCAAAAAAAATATTTTTTCCCCTCGACTTTCTTTTAAGTCATGGAATTGGCAATTTGTTTTTATAAAAACTAACAAAAACAGAAAACATTGCTCCCATTATATTACAATTTGACAATTTCAAGTTTTTATTGTCAATTTACATAATTTGAATTCTCAAATATCGATTTTTTGACAAATTTTATCTAAATCCATTGATTGTTGACCATTAATTTTTTTCTACTATTATTTTTTTGGCTGTTAATTTAAAAAAAAACATTAAAACTCTTTTTTCAAGAGATATTTTTTTCCAGCCGTTCACCCATAAATAAATAAATAAATCATTAAATTTACCACTACATTTTTTTTATTCCTCATGAAAAAAAGATTTTGCTTTTTGAACCTATTTTTTTTAAAAAAATTAATAAATAAAATTAGAAAAGTTTTTTAAAAAATGGTTTTCTAGCTCTAATAATTTTAAATGCATATTATATATTTGAATCAATTGTGAGTAAAAAATCATATAAAACATGTGAAGATAAAAAAATATATATATATATTAAATAAATATAACTATATTTAAAATTTAATGATTGACAATCCGAGAATAAATTTATTAACATGAAAAAAATTATTGATTGTTGATCATTACAATTTGACAATTTCAAGTTTTTATTGTTAATTTAC